TGCTAAATTTTACTCCATTCAATCTCCGGCTCAAAAATTTCCAGAATTGCAAGAAGCTGATTTTACACCTGAAGGTGAGCCTGATTATATCAAGTTGATATTGACATCCAGAGTTTACGATGTTGTCGATGAAGGTGGATCACCACTTACACATGCTGTTAATTTATCACAGAAATGTAATACTAATATATTTTTAAAACGTGAAGATTTATTACCGGTATTTTCATTTAAATTACGTGGAGCGTATAATATGATTGCTCATTTGCATTCCAATTCAAAGACACCATTATCTGGTGTTATTGCATGTTCTGCTGGTAATCATGCGCAAGGTGTTGCTTTTTCTGCTAACAAGTTGAAGATTTCATCTACCATAGTCATGCCAACAGCCACTCCTTCTATTAAATATAAAAACGTTTCCAGATTAGGATCACAAGTTGTATTATATGGTGACGATTTCGATAGTGCAAAGAAAGAATGTGATAGGTTAAGTTCATTAAACGGATTAACAAACATTCCTCCTTTCAACCACCCATATGTCATCGCAGGTCAAGGTACTATAGCCTTAGAAATCACTAGACAATTAAGATTGGATAAGCTCGATGCTTTGTTTATTCCAGTTGGTGGCGGTGGATTGATAGCTGGTATTGGTGTTTATTTGAAAAAGATTGCTCCACATGTCAAGATTATTGGTGTCGAGACTTTTGACGCAGATGCATTGTATCAGTCCTTGCAATCCCATCAGCTGAAAACATTGGATCTGGTCGGAGTATTTGCTGATGGTACTGCTGTCAAAGTCCTTGGAGATGAAACTTGGAAGCTTTGCCATCAATATGTTGATGAGGTAGTTAGAGTTCTGACTGATGAATTATGTGCTGCAATTAAAGATATTTTTGAGGATACTAGACTGATTGTTGAACCATCTGGGGCTTTGTCAGTTGCGGGCTTGAAAAGGTATGTTAGTGATAATTCTGAAATTGACCATAGAAATAAGAATTATGTTCCAATTTTAAGTGGTGCTAATATGAATTTCGATAGATTAAGATTCGTAAGTGAAAGAGCTGTGCTTGGTGAAGGTAAAGAAGTATCCTTAGCCGTCACTATCCCTGAAAGACCTGGTGAGTTTGCCACATTACAAAATATAATCGATCCAAGAGCAATAACAGAGTTTTCTTATAGATTTAATAATAGCGGCAATGCAAACATTTTCGTCAGTTTTAATGTTACGAACAAGGATAAGGAATTAGCTTCAATAGTCGAATCTATGAAGACTAATGATTATGAAGTTATTGATATCTCAGATAACGAGTTGGCAAAGACGCATGGTCGTTATTTAGTTGGTGGAAAATCTTCAAAGACTAATTCAAATAAAATTTCTAAAGAGAGGTTATTCAGATTCGAATTCCCAGAAAGACCAGGTGCTTTAACAAAATTCTTGCAGACTTTGAAATATGATTGGGATATAACCTTGTTTCACTACAGAAATCATGGCCACGATGTTGGAAAGATTTTATGTGGTTTTGTGCTTCCAGAAGGAACAAGTGACGAGGACTTTCAGGATTTCTTGAAAAATATAGGTTATAGCTTTGTTGATGAAACAGACAATGTCGTATATAAAAAATTCTTACAAAGCTAGATATTATGAAAATTTAGTTTGCATGTTGATTCGTCTATTTATAGGTTCGTTAAATATAGATTTTCATTTTCATGAATATTATTATATACAAGGATTTATTTAATAGTGGCACTGTCAGTCAGCACGACGTAAAAAGGCTTGATAAGCTTCCTGATTAATACTAATCTTTCCGGATGCTTTCATTTGCTTCTTACCCTCTTTTTGTCTCAGTAATAACTTCTTCCTTCTGGATATATCAGCAGCATGAAGTTTCTGAGTGACATCTTTTCTCTTAGCTTTAATTGTTTCTCTTGCTACAACTTTATTGTTGACTTTTGCTTGAATTGCCACTTCAAATAATTGGAACTTCAAATATTCTTTAAATCTCGTTACATATTCCTTTCCTCTGCTTAGGACCTGGGACCTATGCATAACTTGGGTTAATGCATCTTGAGGTTCTCCATTTACACATAGCTCCATTTTGACAATATCTGACTTCTTATATCCTGAGTCTTCGTAGTCCAAAGAAGCATACCCCTTTGTACAGCCTTTAAGTTTACCAAAAAAATCTTCCACCAACTGTGCTAATGGAATTTCATATTTCAATAGCACTTGTCCAGTAGTTAAGTATTCCAATTCTTTTTGAATACCTCGATTGTTCTCGCAAAGTGACATTACGGTTCCAATATATTCATCCGGAATAGTCATTATAGCATTAACATACGGTTCCATTAACATTTCAATATTATGATTTCTAAAATCTGCTCCAGGAAATTCATCGGGATTAGTCACAATAGTTTCTTTTCCATCTTTATAGACTAATTTATATGGGACAGTAGGAGCTGTTAAAATGATTTTTGCACCGTATTCATTTTCTAACCGCTCTTTAAACACAGAAGCATGAAGTGAACCCAAAAAGCCCAATCTCCATCCAAGACCCAACGCATTTGATGTTTCCTTTTCTAATGTAACAGACCTATCATTTAATACCAAATTTTCCATATGGTCATTCATAACTTTAAACTCACCTCCATCTGCTGGAAAAGCACCCACAAAAACCATAGGTTTTGGCTCTTCGAATCCGGGAAGAGGCTCTAATCCTTCATGTTTACCATATTGATAGAAGGTATCACCAATCATAGCTTCTCTCGGATTCCGCATGCCTGGGATAATGTAAGCCACCTGTCCAGCCTTTACACAATCCATTGGCATTTTATCGGGGTACATAATTCCTACTTCCTTTACATCGTATCGTTTTTCTGAATGAGCAGAAAGTAATTTCATTCCCTTTCTCACTACACCGTCAACAACATGAATCAACATAACAACCCCAACATAAGGGTCATGCCATGAATCAACCAATAACGCCTTCAAAGGTTTATCAACATCACCGCTAGGTGCTGGTATATTTTGAATAATTGATGGTATTATATTTTCAATATTGAGGCCTGTTTTAGCACTTACTGGAATGCAGTCTTCTCTAGGTAATTCGAACGTAGTCTCAACCTGATCCATTGCTCTCGGAATGTCTGCTGCATCCAAATCAATTTTGTTGATCACTGGAATCAATTTCAAGCCCATACTATAAGCCAAGTAAAAGTTAGCTACTGTTTGTGCTTGAACACCTTGAGATGCATCAATTAATAGAAGAGCCCCTCCACAGGATGCGTAGGATCTGGAAACTTCAGCCCTAAAATCTACATGACCTGGGGTATCAACTAAATGTAATAAATAGTCTTCGTTTGTTTTTGGATCAACATAGAACATAGAACATGTTTGCGCTTTCACCGTAATACCTCTCTCTCTCTCAACATCTAGTTTATCCAAGACCTGCTTATTTGCATCTCCAGGTTGAATAACTCCAGTCAACTCCAATAGCCTGTCCGATAAAGTAGATTTACCATGATCCACATGTGCCACTATACTGAAATTTCTATAATTTGAAATAGGGATTTTCGCTATTCTTTCTTGTACAGATTTAATATGACTCTCTTTATCTAGAGATATCTTTTTGTCTTCGATAGCAGCAGTTTTGTTCATAGACATACAATGCCTTGTAGTCGCTATTGTTCGAACATTGGTAAGTACGGATCTATATGAGCAATGCTTTAGACCTAGAAACCTTATTTGCATGGATATAGTTGATTGTAGCTACCAAATATTTTCGTATGGTGCTTCATACTGGGACTGAAAAATTTAAAGGCTGCGACGTGCAAATTAACAAAATTACTACAAAATATGTTTTGAAAAGAGGGCTTCGTATTTAAAAGATTAAACTACTACTATTTGTTAGCTTCAGCAAAGTCATTGACAAACTTTACTAAGAGTTCAACACTTTCGAGACTAATTGCATTATAAATTGAAGCTCTAATACCACCAACTGATCTGTGTCCCTTCAAACCAGTTAATTTCTTTTCAGCGGCCTCAGATACGAACTTGGCTTCTAAATCAGCATTTGGCAAATTGAAGACTACATTCATTTTTGAGCGAACATTTGGGTTTGTAACTGGCAACCTGTAGAAGTTTGGATATTTTTCCAACGCTTCGTATAATATTTTTGCCTTTTGTTCGTTGATCTTCTGAATAGCAGGGACACCTCCAGATTCCAATAACTTCTTAGCAACTAAATTAATAATATGACAGGTGAAAATAGGAATTGTATTATAAGCCGAATTGTTCTTGACAACGGTTGGATAATGGAAAGCAATCGGGGCCAATGGAATGTTCTTTGAACTCAATTCTTCGTCAGTAGCATGTTCTAACAAAGACTTTTTTATAATATAAATAGTCAAACCAGCAAGACCGATATTTTTTTGTGCTCCGGCCATAATCAAACCATATTTGCTGACATCAATTTCCTTCGATAAAATATTGGATGACATGTCAGAGACTAATTCAACACCTTCTGGTAAATAATCAGTTCCAGGGGTATCATGAAACTCATTACCATTGACAGTTTCATTGTCACAAACGAACAAGTATGCTGTTGATTCTTTGTCAATTGGCTTCCATTCAGAATAAGGAGGTATATCACCATACTTCTTATCTTTGGTATTAACCACGATGTCGGTATCGAAACCTAATCTCTTAGCTTCTTCTGCAGATTTGGCAGACCATGACCCAGTAACAGCATAAGCAGCTTTACCCTTCTTTCCGGTTCTCTTAGTGTAATTTGCCATTAAATTATACACAATTGACGAAAATCCAGTAGTACCACCTCCTTGCATGAAAAATACTTCATGGGTGTCTGGGATATTCATTAATTTGCTTAAGTTTTCCTTCGTCCCATCAATTACACCACCTGCTGGTTTAGAACGGTGAGAAATTTCACCAACACCGATATTCTCGTCTCCGTATGAGATTAAATCATATGCAGCTTCCTGCAAAACAGAAGTTGGTAATAATGCTGGTCCAGCACCAAAATAATGTGGCTCTTCACGGTTTAATGTTCTTTCTTGTGCCATTGCTTTCTGGGTTGATTTAAATAAGAGATAAATTATTTAGAATTCCAATTTGTCAAATATCACCAAGTGCGCGGTATTGAGTCATTCGTGAAAAAATAACTATGTATAGATAAGTGAAATGCTAAGAACGCACAGTTTACTAACATTAATCTAGATATACTGTTGCATTTGAAGATTATACACCTCAAGATGCTCAATTATCAAGAATATCACGGACTTTGACACCACTGATATAATAAATTATCTCGACATCATCGGTATCATCTAATAAGCAATGCAATACACATGCTTCTCTGTGAGTTAAAAGGAAAATCACAGTCTTACAAGTTGCAACAATTTTAGATGCCATCTTCCAATCTCTTAGTCTTACCAATATTTCTTTATCTTCATGAGTATTATCCTCATCAATATCTTGACTGATAACCGATCCTGGATTGTGTAGGTTTGGTAATCGTAACGACTCACCATCAAGATTACTTCTATTAGGTTTTTGAACTTCTAGTTTGTCGTTCCAGCTTATTGTAACTTTGAATTTACCATCCTCTTCCAATACAAAGCCTAAAAATCCTCCATTACGCCTGCTTGATTTGATATTGACCAAATCATTACTCGAAGTTTTCTTAAACTTTTCTAATCTCTTGTAAGTCGATAGAAATTCCTTAGGCAACCTCATCATTAAATCCACTTCTGTCAATTCTGGCTCCTTGAGGAGCATAATGTCATCTGTGTTTTTCAAGATCTTGACTGGTAAACGGAAGGTGTGATTGATCGCGTTAGAATTAATGTTGATATTTGAGTAGAATAGCGCTAAAGAAGCAATTCTCCCATTACTTATATTAATTCCTTGGCCACCTGAAGTATCTTTCTTTTGAAGCCGTATATTTAGCCCGTCACTATTTGCTCTATTGAAGTTATGCAAAGTCAGTAGCAATTGCTCAATATTTATTTCCAACAGAATGGTGTTATCCCGCAAACTTTGGATCTCAATCTGATCGAAGATATTATTGATTTGTAACTTACACCATACTTGTGGCTCTTGCGTTATAGAAGATCCATTTACCAGTATTATTAGTAGCTGAGTAGGGGTGAATCTTAGTATGACAAACTTTCGTATATGACTTATTAGTGAAAGTGTCGTCTTTAAAGCTTCAATATTCTGTGTTCTAAGTTTAAGCTTCATTTCGATTGATTTATTCTAAACGCAATCCATAAAACTCAAAGAATATACTAAATATCAGAAGTACCCGAGACACAAGTATTCGCTTAGAATATGACAAACAACAAGAAGTGTATCATAAAAGTGATATATATCATCATACATCATAATTTTGATTTCACTATGCGATCGCATGTAAGTCTTACAGAAGTTCTTGAAATTTAAAAAATTTTATACTAATGATTATAATATTATTATACAATATGTAAAGTTACAAATACGTTACCTACCTGAAAGAATAGAGAGTAAGTAACTAATTAAGGAAAAGAATATAAATGCATAATTCTTGACACGATATTCGAGACAGATATAAAGAAACGAAATCAAGTCAATTCAGATACGCTTTTCTTAACAATTAAACAAAGCGTGGATTATCCGAAGCCTCTGAAAAGTTTCAGAAACAAATAGATGAAATGGGGATCAAGCAAATCTTATCAAAATTTTCAAATCTAGAATATATCTAATTAAGAAGCCTGTGCCTTCAAGACAATAACAACAGAATCGCCTCTCAAAAACATCTTAGAGACAAACCTTTCTTTAGAAGTGGACTTTATTTTTTTGCCTTTATTATTCTTAACGGATTCTGTCCATAATTCTTTAACATTCTCTAATATCAAATTACAATGTCTATCAAAAGCCTTTACCTTTGCGATAAGCTTATGGTTGTTACGACAAGAAATAACAACAGGGCTTCCATTAGTTACAGCGTTCTGTAATAAAGACATAGGTCCATGTGTAAACTCAAACTCCTCTAACTTTTGAAGTTCAAGTTCAGTTAATTCTGAACGAGGACGATCTATTAATTCACTGTCAATAGTTAGTACTTATTCTCAATATCTTAGAAACATTAAACTAATACAAATACATACGCCATTACCTTGATAATATATATAGAGGTAGAAGATGTGGATATTCCACTATAAACTGATGTCTTGAAGTATTTGATGCTACAAAAAAGTGAGTGTCGCACGCCCGAATAGTAGTATACATGGTATTAGATTATATTATACAAGATATGTACTTCTTTATGTAGTCTTTTCGTATTGACTTAGAGGAGCAGCCAAATCACAACCTCTTTTAATGATGTTTTCAATACGGTCCCTCAAAACTCGAGAGTTACAATCGACGGTGAGATTCAAATAATCAATTTTAGCTTCATTTTTACCAATTACGATACTAGCCCTTTTGCCTTCTTCACCAGCAGCAGTCTTTAAAGAATCACCAAACTGTGCTTTCAATAAAGATGTGATACGGTGAATACGGCTAGATATCTCTGAATTTGCGTGTGCATTCTTTTCAGGTGGAGGTGTTGAATCGATCATAGCATCATCGTTAACTTCCTCTTTTATCTTAGTGTGAGAATGAGAACAACTCTTTGAAGTCAATTTGACAGATGCAGGTGACGAGTCAATAGAATACAATATAGCTATCACACTATCAGCTAAGGAATCAGCCATCAAATTGTCATTAACCCATTCAACATTTATCAATAAACCTCCAGCTCCCTGAGAATTATTCTTTTCAACAGAGATATCAATCATGTCCATGATTACGCATTCCCATGTTTCTTCATCATCTACCAATATACTAATAAAACCAAACATTTGCTCCAAGTGCCATTTCATTAAAGAAATATCAGCATTGATCTTCAAATTAATCTTAGATTTAACAATTGACGTAGACAATTGAGTAAATTCATGCAAATCTTGCAATTGAAGAAGATTCAAATCAAAATCTTTAGAAACAAGGACACCAGATAATGCTTTGCCAGTACTTATTATATTATTATCATTAGCTTTTTCATTTTCCTTTTTATCGGTATCATCTTCTCCACTCTTAGACTCCTTTTCTCCTTTTTCATCAGTATCCGGTTTTGATTCTTTTTCCATGTCACCATCTGATAATTCTTCTATTTTAACATTACCTTCATTAATTTTAGTACTAATTTCTTTCTTCAAGTATGACAACTGCTCTTCAGCTAATGTACCTAAAACCTTCGCCACTTTCAAACCTTTGATACCAATCGTCACTTCATCACAATTTCGAGGATTGAATACCTTAACCTCTTGTTCTGTTCCTTTACGTGAAGAATATTTACTTAACAATGCTGACTTCAACCTACCCATAGGATTACTCTCCCCATGTACCAATATAATTTTCAGAGGATTGACTTTTTCAATGAAATTTGCATTTTGTTGAAAATCCACATGTGCAGCAAATGAAATCTCTTCAATATTTAAACGACGAGGGATGGTCATATCAGAATTCAGCGCAGATTGGATTGTATGAGGCTCAGTTAATAAGTCCTTTGCCATTGTACCCTCCACCGAGTAACCTGTCATGATGACCGCGTTCTTAGGATCAGGTGCCCATCTTTCTAAAAGATCTCTAGAAACACCATTCTGCAACATACCTGGAGACGCTACAACAACACAAGGTCCAAAATCCTGAAACTTATCTAAATTTTTTATGTTCTTAATGAATTTAAATTGGAAGGGATTTTGTTTCTTACTTGAATTGGTTGCTGATGTTGTAAGACGAATACTATCATTCATGATATTCGTGTAAGTCTGATATACAGCCATACATTTTCTCGCTAAAGAAGAGGCGTAATATATATTTATGTTTTGTAAATCTTCATTAAGAGACCAATATTCTTCAAGAATCAAAAGTAATTCTTGTGCCCTTCCCAATGCAAATACAGGCATTAGGATTCTACCCCCTTTTAAAATGGTGGAATGAATAATATTTGTCATTCTATTTTCTTTTTCCAATCTAGGTTCATGTGTAGCTGTTCCAAAGGTAGATTCGGTAATCAAGATATCTGGTTTCATAGGTGGCACTTCTGCAACCTGCAAATGCCTATCTTCTTCACTAGAATAGTCACCTGTAAACAATACTTTTAAACCACCAATTTCAATGAAGTACATACATGCACCCAATACATGACCAGCATGGTAAGCTGTGAATCTTATACCATCAAGTTCTATCGTAGAGTGGTAGTCAATGGTTTCAATTCTATCAAAGGACCTCATCAAATCATCATCTGTGTATAAATTACTTGATCCAGTATTTGCATTAGGATCTGAGTTGTTAAGTCTTGCATCACTACCTCCTCCAATCGAAGTGACTTTCACGAAATCTGATAATAACCAACGATAAATAGCCTTAGTCGCATGTGTCATAAACACTCTTCCGCTAAAATTTGTATGTTGCATAACATATGGTAATGATGCAGCATGATCTAAGTGGAAATGACTAACTAACAAAATGTCAACCTTTGATAAGTCATACTCGTCATAGAACGGCAAAGAACTCAACCCTTGTAGACCAGGATGAACACCAGCATCTAACATGATGACTTTGTTTTTATATTCAATTATGTGACAAGACCTTCCTACTTCATTACAGCCTCCAAGACCGAAAAACTTAAAATCATCGGTACCATCAGATGGTTGACTGTCCACGGTCATGTTCGATTTATTAGATTTATTGTTTGAAGTATATCAACATAGATAAAACTACTTCAAAAAATCTCGCTTTAATTTTTTGGTGGAAGATTTCGCATATACAGGCTATGATATTTACAAATATAATAAGATTAACTAAATTAAATATTATTAAATACTATACACAATCGCTCTATACTGAAGCTCTAAACTAACATGAGGAAATCAAAGCATAATTCGTCACCAACTGAAATAAATTAGCCCTATTTGATGACTAGCATTACAGTAATTAGACACCGCAACGCAAAACGTTTTGACGTTGATGCCTAAACCTTATAACTTCGTGCCTTTCCAATATATAAAGAGCCTTATCCAAAGCCCCAGCGCTAGCTTTACCACTGTCTACTATTTCCCTTCTCAAAGTTTTGTAAGCTGTAGACCATCCAATTGGTAACCTTCTTCTAAGTTCCTGTTCAACTTTATTAATTTCTTTACTCATTTCTCCGGTTGTGATCAAGCCACCACTAGACACACCTTGGTCTACAGCATCCATAGTAGAAGCAGTGAATAACCTAATGGCTTCCTCGACGTGTTCTTCAGAAGCAACTGGGGATAATCTCAATTTGGCTAATGATTCTGTAATACGGATGATGGCTTCTAATTGACGAATCGTAATAGGAATAGAAGATTTTTCGTTCATCTCAACTTCATTTATTTGCAATCTACGTCTGATGGAGACGAAATGTGACGATAATCTTTCTGAAGCTTCTGGACTTAAACGTGGAGCACATTTCAATTTTACGTATTGAATATATCTCTTCATAACATCAATAGGAATTTCCCCTTCTTGGTTTTGATCCTGGTTGTTATTAGCATTACCTGTATGAACATTCATAACATGTTGTGCAATTGACATATCTCTGGCTTCGTTATGGTCATCCTTGACAATAAAAATCATATCAAATCTAGACAAAATTGTGGTTTGAAAGTCAATATTTTCACCTGGACTCTTCAAGTCATCATACCTCCCATAGATTGGATTAGCTGCCGCTAAAACAGACGTTCTAGAATTTAAAATTGTAGTTATACCAGCTTTCGCAATGGAAATAGTTTGCTGTTCCATAGCTTCATGGATTGCTACTCTGTCTTCATCACGCATTTTATCGAATTCATCAATACAGACGACACCACCGTCAGCTAAAACCATAGCACCACCTTCTAAATAGAAATCTCTCGTAACCTGATCTCTTTGAACTGAAGCTGTTAAACCGGCAGCCGAAGAACCCTTACCAGAAGTATAGACGGATATAGGAGAAATTTTTTCAACGAATTTCAATAATTGTGATTTAGCAGTACCTGGATCACCAAGTAATAAGACATTAATATCACCTCTTAATCTCATTCCATCAGGTAAAATCTTTTTAGAACCACCCATCAATAAACAAGTGATAGCCTTCTTGATGTCTTGATTACCATAAATTGATGGAGCAATAGAATTAGAGAAAACCTCGTACAAGTTGGGCAATCTGGATATTTTCAAGAATTCTTCTTCTTCCTCTTCCGTGAAGGTTAATCCCTGTCCACTAATACTATTGTCGACGTCAGTTTGAATCCCTAAAATTTTCAAATATGGGTTACGAATGGCAACAGTGTTTACATTACTACTGCTCTTTTGCTTTGCCTGGTAAATGGAATATATACCCACTATCGTTACTCTTGTACCAGGCACCACTTGGTTAGTCATGTACCTGTCCGCTTGTAAAATAATGTGCCTAGGCATTTCACCAACTGGAACCATATCTGGGGATTCTTGCAACTTCAAAACCTGCTGATCGATAAACGTAGATTTGTCATGAACGATAGTGTAAGGGTCGGATGGACATTTGTCCTGAGTCGAAGCATCATCAAAATTATGGGTTCCCTGACATCTATTTGGCAAGTTCAACAGCCCAAATCCGGAAGAAATCTTAAGTCTCATTGTGTGCTTACAGTTACGACACAACAACTGCACCTGAGTAGCTCTAGAGCTCAATACAGATGATGAAATAATAATTCCGCTAACCCTCACTATTTTCGAAATGTGTTCTGAGTCTAAGTCTCTAATAGATGTCTTACTGGCATTGGAAAATAATATCAACTGACAATTAGGAAAATCTGTTGGCACCTCTTCGTTCGACAAGTAAGCTATTCTCTTCCCAATGTCGGTGATGGCATTTTCAAACAACGGAATCATCTCTGCCGGGTCATCCGTCAATTTCTTATTCAATTCCTCATTGAACCCAATTAAATGTTCGGAATTAACCTTGAGAAAATAATTCTTAATCAACAAATTTTCTCTTAATTGGTCTCTGTAGATGAATTGAGTGTTCAACCTGAATTCAAGAATGAATGAACGAAATGCTTTGGTAATCTCATTAAAAGAGTTATCTTCCGGCTCTTCACCCGGCAAAACTTGAGCACCATATACTTCTGGTCTTTCGTAAGACATATTTGTTGTTATATCTCTTTTATTCTGTGTTTTGGAACCTTTACAGGAAGAAAAACTGATGAGACGTGTTGGTATAAATAATTTATATCGATGTACCATTAATTATCCCAATTGGGTAAAGTACGCGTGGATGCCTAAACTGCAAACCTTCATCAACTCGTAGAGCGCAGAAAATCTCCTAACCTGTAATATGTCTATTATACTAGTGAACCAGCTTGTTGGCCATTATAGGTGAAGCCATAGTATAATGATTTTACCTTTGAAGATGATCATTCTAAGGAAGCCATTGTTTGTGGCCCCTTTTAGATGTTTCTTGAGTACATCATGTGTTAATTATGCGATACCAAAGAAAAATAAAATGCCTCCAAGACCAAAATGGCTTATTGTGGAAGAAGAAATAGATGAAGCGTTTTTAAAAGGAGGGAGGGGTCCCGGAGGACAGAAAATTAATAAAAGTAATAGCAAGGTCCAGCTTACACACAAACCTACAGGGTTGGTGGTGACATGCCAGTATTCCAGATCACAAGAGCAAAACCGGAAGCGAGCTAGAGAAATATTGGCATTGAAGCTTGAAGAGTTACAAAACCCAGAAGGTTGTCGTACGGCAGTTGTGAATGAAAGGAAGACAAAAACAAAACAAAGCAAAACGAAGAAGGCGAACAAAAAGTACAAAGTGCTAGATGAAGAGAGGGCAAAGACAAAGGAGGAGGAAGAGCGCGAATTATTGTCGAATTATATAGATATTGATGCTGAGTTTGATAGCCATGTCAGGTCTACGTTGAATTCGAACGGAACAGGTGAAAAGGGACCCGTATAAAGAAAGTGATGCAGTATCTATTGCCATTGCTTCTAGGATCCAGAGAACGTGTACCTACCAACATGGTGATATAGATCCAGAATGTTTGCAACCATATAGTTATCTGGCGTTTATTTACTCGTAACAGAGCCATGGCGACCAATAGTGTTGTAATTGGGTCTATAATTGGAGCGGTGATTGGGACATGCTTTCTATTAATAATTCTGATGATCTTGTACTGCTATTGGTGTTGCGTAGTTTATGTTAACTCCCCACAAGATGAGTATAATGTATCCGAACTTCATTTTCGTGACAAGCAGAAAACGGGCCATGCTTTGAGGAATATGCTTAGTGGGATATCGTGGATATTCTGTGGACTGAAAAGAAGAGATCTAGAAGACCAAATAGATATAGACAAACCACCTAGTTCAGTGACGAATTGCGAAACGAATTTGAATTCAAATTCAACATCTTCAAGACTAGCACTCAAGAGTTATACGCTTCCCTCTGCAGATGAAGATATACCGCAAGTATGCATGGGAAACGTAAAAGATGTAAACATTATCCCGTGCTTGAATAAAGACGATGCGACTAGTTATTCACTGGTGTACAAGGATGCGATTGATAGATTTGATTTGTCAGATGGACTTGTTGGTACTGATGTCGACCAAAAGAGTTCGCTGAAGGCTAAACGGCTCTCAGACATACGGAGAATGTCATCATTGACATATCGAATGGATGATACTGAGCCAAATAACTATGTGACCACTGTTTCGAAGCCATCAGAAAGTGAACGGTCCTATATTTCGGACCAGTACGATAGTTTCACTCGCACTTTGATGTTGCAAAACTTAATTGGCAATTCGATTAATACCACCAAGAAGAATGTTATCAAGGAGCTTTATGATCCATATCTGGAAAACTTGATATCTGTTGGGGGGATAGTTGTTGTTGTTAAACTGTTCAATGGTGTAAACGATTTTGAATTTGATGCGTTAGAAATAGGCGACCTTTTGCGAATTGTCAGATTTTATGTGAAGGGAGATATTGATATAAATAAGTCCAAAATAAGACATGATGATGAGTCGATAGACATCGCAGAATTTCAAAATGATTCATCAAATGAAGCAACAATCAGAGATGGAATATGTGTTGGTAGATCTGATCCTAATTATGATAGTGTGTATTGTACTGGGATTTTGCTTAATACGTACTTAGAGTATAACAAACAGACCTGTGATTTATCTTTAAGACTAAAGAAAGGTCCTGAAGTTAATGAATACGAACTCCTCAAAGATTTCCCGCTTAATATTGTTTCTCTAGAAACAACAGTTTTGAAAAAGGTATCTGAATCATCAGTTGCTAAAGATAAATTGGAAAATCACTTTTGTTAGTAAGATTAAATTAGCATCATCATTTATTCTACTTCTAATTATACAAATAATACACATATTAATTATCATTAGCGTGTTGGTAGTTTTTCCAATTTTCCAAAGTCTTGATAGCATCCTGCCAATTTCTTGTAACTATTTCTAACTCTGTCTTTAGTTCATCAATTTTCTTGGATGAAAATCCATTTTCGTTAACATTAATTTGGGAATTGTTTGAATCAACTAATTCAACAAGATTTGACACATAATGATAATTTTTATACACGTTGTTTAATAGTGGTTTGGTAATATATTCGAAAGATTCAATTTCGTCTAATGAATCCTTGGAGCTTATGTTTGCTGAATCACCAGTAAACTCATTAAGATCAATTAAATCAGACGGATTGGGTAAGTTGTGGACATCTAAATGTTTGTGATTTATGTTTGATAATTGTATGTTCAAGCTTTGATAGTAATTATTTACCAATTTAATAAATCTCGAAAATTTATGATTCTCTGAAATCAAATTTTCAATTAATTGGGTTAAATCTATAACAATTTGTTCATATTGTTCATTTAAGATAGGCAGCAAAGAAGTATTTGAATGCGTATTTGGATTGGTGTTATCTATTATTGGATTATGATTGTAGATTACGTTTGAATTAATGTCTTGGTCAAAGCTTGTTGTATTATTGTTTCGAGACGAATCAATGGATAATGGAATTCCAAATGCCGTTGTAGTAGATAAATTCTTCTTTTCTAATAATTGATTTTTCAACTGGTCTATTTCGATGTTCTTCTTCTTTAGTTCTATGTGATACTTTGTTTTGATATCTGTACACCAATTTTTTAACTTATTCAAGTCTTGGGACTGTAATTTATTTATATGCGTTAAATCATGTACCCGTTTAGACAATTGTAACTGGTCAATTTGAACGAATCTATTTAATCTTGACTCAGAATGTTCAACCTGATGCTCTAAAGATTCTACCTTTTTCTGTAAATCTCTTATTGTGGAGTCTTTCTTACTTATAACTTTATTAAATGACTTATTTTGGGCTTTATTTCTTTCAATCGACTGAAGCAAAGAATAGATAATATTAATTATGTTTTTGTCATTATTATATATTGCTTCTGTTACCTTCAATTCATCTAATTTTGTTGGTTCTTCATCTCTATTATTCTCAATTTGGTCTTGTACTAGATCTTTCCAGTTTATGGAATTGAAATTAAGCTTCTCTGTAATATACCCTTTCGATATAAGTGTGGAATTTATTAAGTCAGATGCATTGAAAATAGCCTCTGTATCGAGATAAGGAGGATCAGATGCCATTTCATTCACTATCCTATTTGTTCTTGTAGATGGTAATGTTTATAGAGATCAAAATGTAAACAATAAATTTATTGCGAGAGTAATATTGATTGATTATCCTCCACAATATTTTTACCACTATCCACTTTTGACTAAGTAATTGATATGCGGTCAGCTAGTACAATATCCTATTAGTCCAAATGATACCTGTAGTCTCAATATTAAGAGGCAACTGTAAGCAGAGAACCAGTGATGCATACGCTTTTATAGTTGTGGTTCTTAATATGGCAATATGTGATTTTACATAGATTGAACCACCGCTTATCTCTATATCGACCTAAGAAATATTCTAAACTATAGTGAAAAATTGTCCTAAGTAAGGAAATAAGGATGTAATTTATGATATTTGGACGATTACTTCTTTATGGTATGCTATTCATGTGCCACTGGTGTATAAAACAAATGTAGTATGTCATTATAACGACGGCCCAATTGGTCTGTAACGTCCATGATGAAGAGTAGTGATGTATATTCCATTGTATGATGGATCAAATTGTGTTCATTACAATTTTTCAATCAAAAAAATCTTATATATACTACACTGATTAAATTCTATTTTATTTTATTTGCAAACTTCGTATACAGTTATATAAACTAATGAAAGTAATGAAAATGTCAAATAAACAATACTTAATTTTTCAATTCATAATATAGGTGTATTTAGTATAGTTTAATGGTGGTGTTCTTCTTCTTCTTCAAAGACAAACCAGTCTTCTTCAGCTGCTGCGTCAGTAGCGACAGACGATGGTTCAGCAGTTGCAGTTTCGACGTCAGATGATTCGTATTGACTTAAAGCATCTGCAGAAATTTCAGATTCTGGAACAGATGGCTTGGTTGGTAATTGAAATGTTTTAACTGAGCTTTCAACGTCTTTGCTAGAAAATGGGGTTGGTTTGAATGCTTTGATTTGTTGGATGTATAAATCAGAAACTAAGTTGCTTCTTTGTGGACTAATAGAAAAAAGTCTTCTGGCACTTAAGCTACGCTGAATAATATTGTTAGTAAATTTATCCTCTCTTGGGAATTAATGATAATTGATGATGTTTGCTGTCATTTTCGTGTCCCCAAAAACCATCAATACACTTGTATTCTCAATGCTAATACATACAACTGATTGTCTAAACATTATAAATTCCTTGTTATGTATTAATTAACGTTTCAAGCCTTAAGTTCTATTTATCCTAAGTATATTCAATTCTTTTACCGAGTATCGGTGGAGTCGTGTACTTTGGAAATTTATACAAACACAATTTTTTATTGGTTGAGCTTTGGTCATATGACCTACATACTATACTAATATGAAAAGCATCATTTTTAGTGTACCGATAGAAGTAGTTGCAACTTGAAGGGAAATATAAGAACAAGAATGCCAAAGTATTACTGTGACTATTGTAAGTCATACTTGACTCATGATACCATGAGTGTGAGGAAATCGCATCTAATGGGGAAGAATCATATCAGATACTACTGTAATTACTATGAGATGAAGGCAAAGGAAACAGGAATATGGGACCCATTAGATTCTATGTACGAGATAAATTTGAGTTATTTGAATAGGGGAGCACCCGGGTCGTCAAATGAAGGAAATAAGAACGGTCTGAAAGGAGAATTTAGCTTACCACCCCCACCGAGCTTGACAAATTATCCAAACCCTCCACCTTCAGTATTTCGTAATACAGAGGAGTACCAGCAGTCGATAGCAGAGCATAAGCAAAACCAGGAAACATATTAGGAGACGAATAGGGCTGTATGGTGAATCATGAGTGTGCACCAATAATCGTTGGAAAAACCATAGAAATGGGAATATCACACCTTGATTAGTAGTTTTCAGCAGCACATAGCTAAGCAATCAATTTTGAGGCTCTTTGATGGCCATCCTTGTGGAAATTGAATGTCTGCGTATCACATTTGTATATTAGATGTTGCTCATAGCAACAAGAGACGCATCGGAAGGTTATTTGATAGTAAGTCGGTAGGTTAATAGAATACATATATAATAAATATAATAGCATTGAACAGAGAAACATAAGGACTCATATACCTTTGAATTACATTAGCAACCAACTTACATATCTCATATTTCAAACTAAATTAAACTTTATGTATTACATGAATAATGTAACCTATATAGAATTAGCAGACAAAACTTAAATGGTTTATCAAGCAATTAGTAGAATATCTACAAATCAGCATCATCTTCATCAGGTAATGGCAAGGCAGTGGCTTGTTCCATTTCTTGTTGATATCTTTGCATTAAGTCAGCATCAACTTGGACTTCTGGTGGAGCCAAAGCTGGGGAAGCAACGAATTCTAATTGAGGGTTACCAACCAACTTTCTGGCCAACCATAAGAATGGCTTTTCGAAGTTATAGTTGGATTTGGCAGAGATATCGTAGTATTGCAAGTTCTTCTTTCTGTGGAAAGTAATGGTCTTGGCCTTGACCTTACGTTCCTTAACATCAACCTTATTACCACATAAGACAATTGGGATGTTTTCACACACTCTGACCAAATCTCTGTGCCAGTTTGGAACATTCTTGTAAGTGATTCTTGATGTCACATCGAACATAATGATCCCACATTGACCGTTGATGTAGTATCCATCTCTCAATCCCCCGAACTTTTCTTGACCAGCAGTATCCCACACATCGAACTTCAATTCCCCGAAGTTGGTGTGGAATCCTAATGGATGGACTTCGACACCTAAAGTAGCAATGTATTTCTTTTCGAATTCACCCGTTAAATGTCTCTTGACGAATGTGGTCTTACCGGTACCACCATCTCCGACTAAAACTAACTTGAAAGTTGGAACTTCTTGAGCCATGATTGATTGATTGATTAATTAATTATCTAGACGATTAATAATTTATCTGGGAAGAAAAGGCTTTTACTTGCCATGTATCGACTTCTCATTCCTTGTGTTTTTGGATCAGTAAGGAAATCATCGAAAATTTTTGAAATTCCTTGCTTATGTCAGCAGACCCATTGAGAAGTTATTGATTACTTAAAGAAGTAATAAGTTCCATTTTACAGATATACTGCTGAAATGTCGAATTTACAAACCATGTCGCGATGTCGTCCTCTGACCCGGGACGCCTGTGACTCGTCGGGTCTCGACTGCCCGATCTGGCAGCATCTGTCCCACGCGCATCTATTCACTTGCTACAGGGGTCTTCAGATGCAGCTACATTCCACTTCGCGGGTTGGTACAAATCGTACTACCCGCTGTCTTTACTGGCCTGAATGTACTAGACAAGATGCATGAACCAAAAACTAAGAGGCAGTTATAAAATAGTCTCCAATCACTTCAGATATACCCAGTCACCGGCCAGATCAAGAATAAGCCTAATAATGTTTATACCCACCACGCACCACCAAGCGCATAAGACGCACTTATTTTTACCGATTCAGTTCCTCCCTATTGTTTGGGGACGTGCTATAAATACTTCGTTATAGCCTAATGAAAATCATAGCCCGACACGTATCGTTGTGAAGCTGTCAACAAGGCAAACATGTTGTACCTTACTTGTAGAGTTGAGCTGAATCTGAATCTAGGGTTTAATAGTTGGATTGAAATAGTATAGATATAGGATCACGAATGCAGTATGTAGCGTTACTGTAAGACCCAAGACAGAGCGTGAAACGAATAAATAAAAACACATGCAGACGAGATTATTTATTGATCGTGCTTCAGTAACATGTAGGTCCGGTTGGAATGGTACGAAAGGCGATCTGGGCGACTAGTGGGTGAGTATAGTGGGTAAAATGTTCTGTGCGCAATTTACGCTTTTATCGTGGGAGAGTAAAGTGCACACCCTCCCTCAAAATTTAGTACTGGCAACTAAAAAAAACGCTAACCATATTACAGAAGGTTTTTTTTTTCTCCCATATATACATAAATTTGATATCTTTTAGGTATATATATTGCTAGCTATAGAAAGCTATACACCAGTTAGTAAGAGGTACACGAAATCAGGGATATTTGCTTTTGAAAGTGTTAATAAGACTACGAACAAAGGTTACCCCATTCTAAACAGATTAATTAACCGCCGACGTCTAAGGTTGAAAAAAAGGTGATCTATATATCTAGGTCCCATCCAATCGTTTTTAAAGCCATAGGAAAGCGTGTATTTAATTTGCACTACGAAGTTCGAGACTACACATTCCCGATAAATTGCTATACTTCGAAGTATACAACGCGCTAAGTTCTGTTGAAGTATATCCCCCAAATTAGTTAAAATACGTGAATACTGCTACCATATAACGTCAGAATGTATCCACACCAAGGAGTATATTATAGTTCATATCACGGTCCTCAAGGGTACTATCCTCCGGATATGGCACCTCCAGCGACTCCGCTTGATTTGTCGTACGGTCAATCAATGTTACCATCGAATTTATTGGTTAACTCACCATATGTTCAGCAGACACTGAATATGGTGCCTATGTCGCCGGTTCTACCCAGGCAATACGTGCCTCCGCCAGTTAATCTCTCGCATGGGAACTTGGCCCACCATCAGCAACAATTACAGCAGATGCACTCACAGCATCAGCATCAAAACCAACAACACCCACATTTTGTATCACAATCACCCTACTTGACTCCGCTCGGTAGTAAAAGCAATTTGGAACAACTTAACCTTTCACGCACAGTTATATTGAAGAACATTGACGAAAGAGTGACGTTGAATGAGTTGTTGAATTCCATTGATTTTGGCCCTATTGAATATTGTAAGATGTATTCAAGGCCGGCCCCAGAACGTTTAAGGGATACAGATAATTTGAAGACTTGTGTTATTTCATTCGTTAACTCGAAGATTTCGATTAATTTCCATTTAAAATATTCTAAGAACCGGTACAATTTGAATAAGTTGAAGGAGAAGTTGAGAAATTCAAAATATTTAAAAGTTTCTTTAAATGAATCGCATAATACTAGCTCAAATGGAAATTCAAATAATTTTAATAATCATTTAAATAGACAGGACTATATCAAGTTGAAAACCCTTAACTATATTTTGGAATTTAATGCTACCCGGTGTTTGTTACTTAAATTGCATTCCAATAGCTTCGCCTCGATTGATATCGAAGAATTTGAGAATGATGTGACAAACCAATGCTCAAAGTTTGGAGATATTGAAGATTTCAAAATTTCGACAAACGAATCTAAATCTGAAATCAAGTGTTTGGTTCATTTCACATCGATTGATGCCGCTATCAAATCATATGAATTTTATTTGAAGAAAATCCAGGCGGATAAGCAGAATCAGATTGATCTGGAAGGTACCGACAAATCGCTGGAAACTATTGAATTTATCCAAGCTTCCTTTCATAAAGATAGGTGTGACAGAACTGTAATAGATAAGCCATCCTTAGGCTCTAATACAAACTCGCCCATGCTCGGTAAAAGACAAGTGACCATAAACCACAATAACATTATTCCTGAAGACTTAAATGAACACAATACAGACACTGAGGAAGACATAGAAGTCTATGAAGAGGAAGCTTTATTGAATGATCAAAGTATTTTAGAGAATAACGAATCAATTCGGAACTCTTTACTTTCTAACGCAAAGCATCCTCAAGAACCAAGCTTTGACCAGATTAGTTCGAAGTCTTCGTCATCGCAGAATATTGATCAGAGCTATATTTCAAATACCTCTTCATACATGCTCAACACATATCCTTCGATAAATCAGTCTCAAGTAAGAATGCAAATGCCTCAAGTCCCTAGTAATAACTCAGCATCCTATCAGTACAACCCAGATCCATTCAATGTCGGCAATAGGACAATTTATTTGGGAAATTTGCATCCAAATACAACCGTTGAAGAGATTGCAAACAATGTAAGAGCTGGTGGTTTGGTTGAATCAATTAAATATCATCCAGATAAAAGGGTTTGTTTCATCACATTTATTGACCCCACCATCGCTTTAAAATTTTATTTGAATCACCAAGTTTTACATCAATTGGTCATTCATGGATATGATATCACTGTCGGCTGGGCTAAAAATCATTCGGGAGCTTTAAATAGAGAAATTTCATTAGCCGTCACAGCTGGAGCCTCGCGAAATGTGTATATTGGTATTAAATTGAATAAGGATGAAAATAATAATATATCAAATACACCAAAGGATGAAAAGATTAGATTACCAAATGAATCTGTCTTGAGGTCAGACTTCTCAAAATTCGGTGAGTTAGAACAAATCAATTTTTACCATAATAAAGATTGTGGGTTTTTAAATTTCATAAATATTGCTGATGCTATTAAATTGGTTGACTCATTTGAATCTAAAAATATTTCTAAGATCAATAAAATAGTGGGTGATAATGGTGAATTTTATGACAAATATAAGGTATTTAAAATCAGCTTCGCAAAGGATAGATGTGGTAACCCACCAAAATTCAGTTTCAAGAAAAAGCTTGGTAAAAGAAAAAAGGAATTGATGAAACCAGAGGAAGATCTTGAGGTCAGCAAACTTGATCATAATAGAGATAACTCTAATGCAGTGCATGAAGAAATGAATGAAGAAGCAGCTATGGTTTTTGGTATTATGAGTACTGCTGATTCTAGTAAAGAAACCAAGAACTCAACAGACAATGAAAAACCAGAAGTAATCAAGAAACCTTTCGAACAATCGGATATTTCCATTAACGGAGGTACCAAGAAAGGAAATGAAAAGATCAATAAGTATGAGAAGACTGATAAATACGAAAAGACGCCAACGAATAATGAGGATGTAAAACTTCCTGATGTTGTAAATGAGAATGATGATGAAGAAGACGAAGATGATATTTCAATTATCATAGGGTCTGATGAGACTACATCTTCTACGAGAGATGAATTGAAACAATTGCGTAATAATGGACATAAATTCTATGATAGCAAAGTTGATACCTCGGATACCTTTATTCCTTTAAGGAAATCATCTAGAAACTCTTCTAATATTTCATTAAACTCGCATAACTCAAACTACATGAAGTACTACAATCATGATTCAAAATTTCCACCTTCCCCTTATCACCACCATCAGCAACAGCAACAGCTCTATTATATGCAAAATGCACAAAGGCCAATAGCTGGTCGAATGAAAAGCTTTGGTTACGGTGGATATTACCCACCCACAAATCCAAATCCAAATCAATACACTTACACTGCGAATCCTTCAAAGAATCCTTATTCTACATCCGGTTCTCAAGTCATGTCTCAATATTTGGCTAAATCTCAACATGATAATTTATTATACGCTGCAAGTATATTATCAAATGATGTTGGCATTGATGAAGATAAAGAATATCACTATAAGTCGAATAGTAGGCGGAACTCAAGAAAATGAACTCACTAGACAAGTAAAAAGTTTATTTATCAGATTTTATTTTTATCATTGTGTATCTTTTCTATGGCTATAAAAATTTTTTTCAAATGCATGTTAGAGTGAATATATTTAGTCATTAGGGACAATATTACTTAAAGGTGAAAAGTAAGCTGGATTTACTTGTATAAAATGATTAATGTTTTGATAATTAGTTATTCCAATGCAAATAAAACTTTATTATTTATATACGTACTAATATTAGTAATAAATTAAATATCAATTACAATTGATCCATAGGTTCCAATTAATGAGAATATAACTCCAAAAATTATTCCAGCCTTAATTAATACCCTCTCTATGATAGAGATGTCGTTTTCATAGAATTTCAAATAGAAAATGAAAGGTAAAGTCATACAGATAGTAAAACAAATTGCACTACCTAAAAAGGAGATAACCTTTCCAAAGGAGTTGAAAATTAAAGATATCAGGAACAATAAAACACAGAAAATAGCCCTAGATAAAACCCTTTTGATTCCATAGACTTCCTGTCTTATTCCATTTTTGACAACTGTATAATTAGTTTGATTAAGTTTGAAAAAACTTTCATAGACAGTAATAATCGGTCTGGTTATCAACGGTAACTTAGACACTGGCAATAAACCCATGAACAAACAAATCAACGGCCGGACCCACTCAGGATAGTTTTTATTTGTCATCAAGTTTTTAGTAAGAGAATCCTGACAATCTGTTCCGAACATCAAAAAGCCAATTACCGCAATTAAATAGTCTAAGTTGAATGTAATACCGAAGGCTATATTACAACACTTTGAAAATTTTGATGGATGTCTCATATCCCTATACAACTCAGGAAATACAGGATGTCCACCCCAAGGTGCCATAAATAATCCAAGACTTAGTAATAAGTATTTATACTCAGATGGCCATATGTTTGTAAATGCGGGGGTGATTAACGATCCAGGGGACGATGTGGTTAAAAGTCCACAAATTATTATAACCACTATAAGAAGTGTAGTGCAAATGATTCCCAACAAGCTGACCAAGGATAAAACTGATAATGGTAAAAATGAAAGCAAGAAAAGCACAGTGACAATAATGCCCTTCAATAAGCCTTTCTGTAATGACGGAAATAAAATATAAAATGAATCGCTAAATAATATTATTAACGAAATCATGGCGCCAAGGAGATCAAAGGTAAATACAAGTGTGACAATAATGTTGATACCCTGACCGCCATATAGGTGAGCTATATCTCCATAACTCATAAGATGTGGATACTTCCTTAGTATCCTTCCCATCATTTTTGCACTGATGTTGGTAACTAGCGAACTGAATAATAGCATCGAAGTACCAATAACCCACCCCGACAAACGAAAGCCAAAAGGTAAAGATAACATACCAATTCCCATCAAGGTATTTATGCAATTAAAAATGGTTTGTGGAGCCGTAGAATCACCAGTAATTAAACGCTCTGAATCAGCCTTGCTTGCTCGCCTAGATAGTAAAGACGTATTTTCATCATGTTCGAAACTAAACGTATTTATTTGGTCAAGGCCTTCTTGATCATCTCTGTGATCATCGTCAATTGCGCTTTCTGTAGCCGCGTCATAGAGTGATGTACAGGGACTTAAATCTCCTTCTACTTCCTGGCCTAATGAAGTTTCAACTAAACTCAGCCCTAAATAAGATTGGGCCCTAGTATATGACGACGCAAACTTATTGATCGAATTGGCTCCACCTATATCCAAAAATGATCGTCTTCTTTCTTTTGGGCGATTACAACAATCACTCTCATCGTTTTCCGGGAAATGACTCATTTTATCGTATCAGTCACTTCTCTCGGTAGAAATAATCAGATAACGATGCTTACAAGATACAATTAGCAATATCCTCGTTTCAAATTTTCAGGGCGATACAAGATAAGATTTAATATAATATTTTTCGTGATGTAATCGGGTTACGAGCCTTTCCATTTCAAAAATGTAATAAGGAAGACCATCAGAGGATAGGCCATCCTGAAACCCTGAAATTCACGAACCCTATAAACTAGATAAATGGTCAATGTACCCGGATTAAAATACTTAGTCGCTATAATAGAATTTGGCAAGCTTCACATATTTGTAATGTGTTTTATTTTGACACGAGCAAGCACAAGTTCTTACGTTATAGTCGATCAGGCATAAAATCTAATGCTTACAGTTATCACCATTTTCAATATTTATAATTCTTATTGGACTTAGAAGTGCCAGCATTGTAATATACATATTCAATATAGTTTATAATTGCAGTATTTTAATAGTGGTTGAAACCCTAATTAGTAATTCAAGGGATCCGCCGACAATAAGATGATACTACAAATACGACAATCGCCTTCGTTTCTGCATACTTAAAGTTAAGCTTGATGATCTATACTCGCTACTATGCGAGCAAAAGTGAGTTGAAGCAAGTTTCTGCAGGTATTAATTGTACAAATGTTGGATTTCATCCTGTGTATGATTTTTCCAGTTTTTGCTGCAAAACTGTAATGAAAAGCAGTTCCTTTGTAGTAACTATTGATATGGTGTTCAAATGCTGCTTCAGTAATGAGTATCCAATTATTTATATAAGGAACTTGAATGAATAGAAAGCTGTATCGTTTTCTGTGAGAGATAATTTTCGTAATCCAATACTTTCCAACCTCTAGTTCTGGCCCGCAAAGTTGCATAATCTTGCAGTCATTACATTTCCCAGGCAAGGGGAAAGGATGCATTGGGGTATTCACTATATATATCCCGATAAGGTTGGATCCTATATACAATATTGTCTAGGGTCGATCAAACAAATAATATTATTGCCTTTATAGAATAGCTGCCACTAAAGGGTCAGAATTTTTTTCTGCTAGTTTCCATTAGTGAATCATAGTTTTAACAAATTATTCTTTTATATATATTGACAAAGTAAACAGTTGAACATTATAGCAGGACTTGATAAAATAAGAAACTGAATAAAGTTGACTGAATAATTTACAGCTGTAAGTAACAATAGTTGCTCCATTCAATCTTGAATTCAGCTAAATATTATGACAAGCTCGGGTCAGCATATTTATTATCATAGTAATAGTACAAATGACTCAAATTCAGACCAGATTGTAAATCCCAGTTCAAACACCAATTCAAACAATATGTCGAACACCCAATTTACCAATCAGCAATCTGGCCTGCCACTTGAGCCATTACATTCCATTCTGTACCATGTTTATCCTAATTCAAGGCTCAAGAATACATTTAATGAGCCCAACCTTTCATTACATCAGATGTATCAATCATCAACACAACCACAAGAGTACTATAATAATGAATATCCAACACTCATGAACCAAAGCCCATTACCACTTAACCAAAACCTTCCATCTGTGGATGCACAAAGTCAAATAGTAGGCTTGCAACAAAGTCCACTGGGTAATTATTCCGGTGTTAATGTTCTTTTCCTGTCTTCACCAGATGGTTCAATGAGAAACAGTCAATCTCAGGCTTCAAAAGTTTCCCATTCGCCACAATCTTCGAATAGTACTCATCTGAGAAATTCATCCGCTAGTACAAAACGACATAGCTTTGATCTGGATTTTGTGAAGCCTGACAAACCTCGTATAGCCACCACTTATTGGGAAGACGAGAAAACTATTTGCTATCAAGTAGAAGCTCAAGGTATTCTAGTATCCAGGAGAGAAGATACCAATTACGTAAATGGTACTAAGTTGTTGAATGTTGCTGGCATGACAAGAGGTAAAAGGGATGGAATTTTGAAAACTGAAAAAACCAAAACTGTTGTTAAAGTTGGAGCAATGAATCTTAAGGGAGTATGGATCCCCTTTGATAGAGCCTCTGAAATTGCTAGAAATGAAGGAATTGACGGATTATTATATCCATTGTTTGTGAAAGATTTGAAAAGCTTTTATCATGAAAAGGGTTCGATGCTAAGACATGATAGCTACTTGAAATCGTTAAACAATGAGGATCTAAGCAATATTACTTTATCGGATGTCAGTCTGCCCACTATTCAAAGTACTATTATCCCATCAAGCAACAATAACTATCAAGACAAAGATGTTAAAAGCATTGAGCAACATGAATACTACGAAGAAAAATCTCACTCCCCTAAAGATTTAAAGACTGAGGATGCGTAGCAATTAAGCTTTTGCAGCTATTTGCTTTCTCATCCACATTACGATAAGTAGGTGGAACTGACGAAAATAGAATCAAGACAATCACATACAGACCTACTAATATAAGCTTCCAATACATATTTTCAATGTCATATATTTCCTCTTATTAATAGATTATAGGAGGGTATGATTCATTTATGATGTTCATTATCCCAAGAAACTTTTAATATATATGCTGGACATATATTCATTTGACCTTTTTGGTTTCAAAATGCTTCGAGTTTTTTAGTTAAAGAAAGTTTATTACTATAAAGATATAAATGAATATTAGCAAGGATGTTTAAGTCCCCCTTTTTTTTTTTGTATTTATTTCCCAAACTTTTAGTCAGTGTTATCTGATGAAACCAATGTTCCACGAAGCTTTTGTTGAGCTTCGATAGTCTCAAAAAGACCCTTGAATGTTCCTTTTCCAAACCCATTGTGATGATGTCTTTGAATTATTTCAATAAATAACGTCGGGCGATCATGCAACGGTTTAGTGAAGATCTGCAAGATGTAGTTGCAGGTTCTAGAAGATTTATTTCGAGTCTCTGGATCATAATCAACAAGAATATTTAAATTTTCAATGGTATTAAAATCTTCCTTAAGGATAATGTCATCGTTAATCAACCTTTGTTTCAAAGTATCATAGTACTTTTGGGAAGCAGGATTGAATTCAATGCCTCTTTTTCTCAAAGAGCTCACGGTTGCAATTATATCGTTCGTCTTGAGGGCAATATGTTGTACACCAGGCCCGCCGTTAAAGTCGTAAAATTCTTCAATCTGACTTTTTTTACGACCTTTGGCAGGTTCATTGATTGGCATTTTCACTTTTCCGTTACTTGACGCCATAACAATTGACTTTAACGCTGTTTCACCAGTAAAAACATCCTTTTCATCGACAGACCAATATTTATGAAAGCCAAATATATTAGCGTAAAATCTTGCATGTGCCATCATTTGATTCCAACTGTAGTTTTCGACACAATGATCGATACAGTCCAATTTAATTGGAGGTAAAGATTCTAATTGACGCAAATAAGTTTCTGGTTTCTCAATAATTGATCTCGTATAGTTAGGAAGGAATGGACCTGAATAGTTAATATTTTGAATCAATGTATGATGTATATCAGTATAAGGAACCGCAATTGTAGCCAATTTAATAGAACCATGAACATCTGATATTGTTTGAGGTAGCTTTATAATATAAGCGCCGGACTCAATAGCCTTCTGGAAAGCAGAATCAACATCAAGCACATTAAAAGAAATATCCATTACGCCTTCACCGTGAGTCTTAACAAATTCCTGGATCATAAAAGATTCAAAATTATCTTGAATTGCTTTCTTAGATGTTTCTACACACTCATTAATTGACTTTTTAATGGTGTAAATTGCATCCAAGAAGCTTGTTGAGTTCAAAATTGACCTCTCCAAATTCTCTTTTGCAACTTTAATATCCATAGCGTACTTATATCTATCAAGATTGTCATCGACAATCTCAGCTGTAAGTTTGGCAATTTTTTCCTTCAACGATTTCAATATCTGTGCTTCATCTGCAGAATAATCTAACTTTATACTCAAAGCCTCCTCTTTAGACATTGGGACAGTTGGGTATTGTTCAGCAACTGATTCAAGTGTGTTGATAATTTCAAACAAAATATTACCATTTCGAACAACATGCGACGCAAGCCTTCTTGAATTGGTTTCTAATCCTCGATAAGCAACTTCTTCAAACCCCATGGATAATTCCAAGTATTTGGCCATTTGCTTAGCATTTGTACTGCAAATCTTCAACGAATGGAATCCAATAAACCCATCTTCTGGATAAGTTGTGTTGATGTGGCCATTCAATAATAGCTCCTCAATTGTTTCATCTTTTAAGGGGTCGAACTCATTCGAGAAATAAGGTAATTCTTTGAGAAGGGAATCCTCGTTCGAAGAGGAATTTAACTTGACATCACTCATAATGAATTATTTAAGTAGCTTATTTTTTTGGCAATGCAATAAATTTTCTTCAATTAAATATCATTAAGAAACAGAAATATCAATTCAAACAAGGAATTTGTAACGCTTATAAAGTATTTAAAACTCTTTGTACACTAGAATTTTGCAGCCTAGCAAAAAGGTAATAATAAGGGCCACAAAAATAAAACAATCAAATCCCTCAATTCAGGAACCAACTTCAATAATTCTCGAACACACTGTACTAATATATATTAAAATGCTATAAAATACTAATATGTATCACTATTCTCTTCCTTTATTGAGCCTTTACTTGATACATTGGCGGTATTATCGTCGGCCTCATCCAAGTTCTTTTTGATGGCAGACAACCTAATTCTATTATTTGCGCCCAATACAAAAACAGGATGGAATGGGACAAAAACTATTGCGGTAATCGCAATCATTAATGCATCTAAGACCATAATATACACTTCATGCGTAATAAGATAACCACTGAAACCTTGGGCTAATTCAACAACTCTATAGATACAACGAATGTAGACGGCAATCACGGCAATCGTCATTGCTAAAGGAAACCAATAGAAAAGCTTTCTTGCACGAATATTTGCGAACAGAGGGTTATAGAATTGTTCTAAATATGTAGCTCTGTGTGCCTGAGAGGATTTCGTATTAAATATCATTTTGAAGAAGTTCGCGGTGGATGCATTCTTCCAGGCAGGATCATATTTATTTTCATCAAAGGACCCTTCTTCTTTAGCGGGTCTATGCTTGAAAAATGTTTGAAAAAGAAAGTGGAACCAAAATAATAAGAAAAATGACATTGCAAAAACTTGGAATGCAATACCTGCAATCATGACATACGAACCTGGTCTAGCATCTTCAAAATTATTTGAAGCATAAGAAGCAGCACCACCTCCACCGGCTTGAATGATTAATGATAGAACATCACACGTAATAAATATATAAGAGTACCACATTGGGCGCAAAATTGAATACTCTCTCCCATACACCACAACTAACTGTGCAAATAGATAGTATATACCTCCCATAATGAAGGCAGGTGCAATGGTTAAACAAACCAATTGCAAGATGTAGTAGTTCATGTCTGTCATATCAGAAAATGACATTACTCTGCCAATAAACCCAGCAAATTCTAGGCCTATTCCACAGAAAAATGCAACATTAAACCAATGGAATCTTGATTTCCAAATCATTAGGGTAAAATACAAAAATGTTACAATGAATACCACAAGGTATATAATATTAGCAGGACGACTCAAACTACGCATAGAATAGACATTTTCTTCCCATTCTAAATCCTTCAAATTTAATGTTGCATTGAAAATTGCTTGGGTAGCCATGCTTTTGACTGAATTATCTGTAGCAGTTGCAATCTGATTTTCTGCTTGAAGAATAGACAACGAAGCTTCAGCACCCCTGATATTCCGAGACAAAGAAATTAATTCAGGCTTGGCCGTGGCAGTATGAATTCTTGCTGTTGCAGATGTTAAAGTTTCCATCAAGCCCGAGCTTTTGGTTGCAGCAACTGATCTTAAAGTGGTAGAAGTCGGAATGGTCGAAGGCGACCAGTTCATCGACTCAAAGTTCATGGATGACATTTTTCCACCTTCGATATGTATACAATGTGTACCAACAAGAGGAACAGTAAGGTATATCTATATTTATATATACTGAAAATTCTCACTTAGTATATTTCGGAATTAGTCGGATTTAATTATAAATAAACTCGGGCTTACTAATTTTTGCTTGGTACTATCCCCGTATGTTGTTTACAATAAACATAACACAGCCGGACAAATATACGATATGCTACAGTCCTATATACACATTTAGATGGCCTTAGATAGCGTCAAGTAGCTTGAGAATGGTTCTCACATAAAAGTCATAAAATTACAGGGACTAAAAAGCGAATTTATAATAAGCTGAATCGCTGCACAATAGAAAAAATATCTCGATTAGTCAAAAATGAAACGATACGGAAAATCTCTCGCTCAAGATTTAGAAATATTGATTACATCGCTAACCCTTAGTGCCAAAAGATTAGACTGGCAATACATCCCAAAAGCTTCTATATTAATTCCATAAATAGTAACTTTTTACGGTTATTAATATTTGCGCATTACAATAAGTTACGAATAGTACGATAGCCCCAACTATTTTATAACCTATGACTCGTTAGCAAAGCTTAAGAGCCTGCATGTACGTAATGGAATATGCATTTCAACTATTATACAAACTATTAACAATCCATAATAGTGCAGCCGTTTTGAAGAAAGATTGTTGTAACAGTAAACTTCAATACTATGCCGCGATGTTGGTTTGAATCGATGGTTCTTGTTCTTCCTGTTCGTATTCAATTTCAACTTTTGGTCTTCTCTTTCTCTTGTTGGCCTTATCATCAGCGGTTGCCTTACGTTTAGTAGACTTACCTTCATTATCGGATTCGTCTTCAGATTCTTCTGACTCAGACTCATCCTCAGAAGAATCATCCAACCATTTTTCTAAGTCTTCTAAGTCGACTAATTCATCATCACCATCATCTTCCACATACTCAACTTCACCAACGTCACTTTCGTCGTCACTTTCGAGCTCAACATCGTCTTCGTCTTCTTCTTCTTCTTCTTCTTCGTTATCGACTTTACCCAAGACTTTCTTCCAAATATTCTCATCGACATTCAATGGCTTATCACCGTATGCACCACTCTTCAATCTTTCTAATAATTCCTTTTCGATAGCCTTCTCAATTTTAGCGGCAGCTAAGGCCTTTCTTTCTCTATTCTCTTCTCTTCTCTTGACCTTATGCTTAACACCGACATAATGTCTTTCTTCTTCTCTTAATGCTAATCTTCTTTCAGTAATAGCAACTTGGGTTAATCTAGTTAATCTCTGTTTACATTTATGAATTAAGAATTTTTGCCAATACTCTAAATGGCTATCAATTTGGCTTAATGCTTTATTGTAATTTTTAGATAATCTAATTCTTTCCCACCATTTAGATGGCATGTGTGTTCTTTCAGCTGTTTTCATGTATAAGTATAATTTACCATCAACATTCTTAACGGTAGCATACCTTGAATTGGCCAACGGACAAGATTGACGAGAACATAAACCAGAAACGTTATATTCATTTCTGCAGAAGTTTTGTTCCTTGGTGGTCTTAATTTTGAAAGCACAGAACTGTTGATTTATAACTTGCCAAACAATTTCGTCAGACATTATGGAGTAGTCGTTTAATTATGCTATTTGAATTGAAACTGGATTAATGTGAAAAATTGGTTCAAATGATATAATTTTATATATGCTTTTGATGTTTTGATACAAGAAAGTAATACCCTAGTCAATTTCTGTGATCAATAATGTTTAAACAATCTATGAAGTCTATTATTTAGCTGTCAAACCACTACCAAAACTGTATGAAAATTTTATTAAATCATCTATGTCTGTAAGAAAAGAGATGAGAAGACTAAAAAAAAAAAAATTATTCAAACACAGTGCATCATAACCATATATCACATGATTTCAACATAAATTTACAAATTGTATTCCAACTATTGGTTTAGTTTAGGATTACCTCCAGTGCTATACCAGTTGTTTAGTTGAAAGATTGATAGGTTTCTTAGGTACAGTTGGCTTTACTTTGACTATTTTGGGCCCAATTACATTAGGAAATTTTGTAGAATTAATTTCATTTGCTCGTCTTGAAAATGAAATTAAAGTAATTATTATTTGATAGGGGTCCTTACGTTCGTAAAGATCTATAGTTTGAAAGATTTCATCATGGGATATTCCGATGATTTCACATGCTTTCAAAAAAAACGAAATATTCTCCATTTGCATAAACGGCATTTTGGAACTCTTATACTTAGAACAAGGATTGTTTGAAATTTCCAAGAGGTTGCCTAATTTACATAGTAATTCACCATCCCTTAAGATATCCATAAGATCTAGACTACGGCTTGCATACACATCAATGGTCAGTTGAGGAATTGATAAAACATTGAAAATCCATTGCTTGATCTCTGGCTCGCTTTTGGCATATTTTTGCTGTCTTGAATTAGTTAGGTCTTGATCCAAATTTGTGTTTGCATTCTGTTCCGACTTTTGTTCATATCTGTTATAATTGAGGTAATTCATGATGTATTATTTATCAGAATCCTGTGGTCAAATGTTTTCAAAGCTGCCAGCGATTGATATTAAGCTCATTTAAATTTGATTCCGCACTTCAGCACTACAATGAAATTTCATAATCGTATTTTTGTATTAGATGTAAACTACATATATTAAAATATGCTACAATTAGTTATGTAATCTCTTTTCGTAGGAGTGTAAACCATGAACACCACCTTCAAATTGAGCAGACGCAGTTCTGAATTCAAATCTAACTTCACCGTTATCGACTTTAGTTCTTAATTCATCTAAAGATGGAGTACCAATATCTTGTAAAGAGTGTTGCAAACCATTATATAAGTATGGAACAAACTTAATAATTGAACCCTTGTCGACAACAGCACCCGAAACACCTTGAGCAACTAAAACCTTATCGGCTTCAGAGAAATAACGGGAAGTAGAAGCATTGGCGCTGGTAGAAGTTTGTTGCATAGCATCAATAGAACCCATACCACGGTAAGACTTTAATCTCTTACCATCACTGTAGAAATAACTACCTGGAGTTTCAGAAGTACCAGCTAATAAACCACCCATCATAACACACGAGGCACCTAAGGCTAAAGCCTTGGTAATATGACCAATATTACCAATACCACCATCAGCAATACATGGGACACCAAATTGGTTAGCAAATTCAGTGACATTGTAAACAGCAGTACCTTGTGGTCTACCACAAGCCATAACTTCTTGGGTAATACAGATAGAACCAGAGCCCATACCAATTCTTAAACCGTCAGCACCAGCTTCAATTAATAAAGCAGCTTGTTCTCTGGTAACAACATTACCCGCAATAATCTCCAATTCTGGGTATTTAGATTTGATCCATTTGATCATATCTAATTGGAAAACAGAAGAACCATTCGAAGAATCTAAAACTACGACATCTAAACCAGCTGCAACTAATTTGTCTAATCTTTCTCTGTCACCTGGAATAGTACCAATAGCAGCACCACATAACAATTGCTTAGAGTCGAATGACTTAGATGCTAAAGGATAACTTTGATTTTTTTGCAAGTCAGTTAAAGATATCAAAGAGACTAAGTTACCATTTGCATCAACAATTGGTAACTTACCCTTCTTAGAAGATCTCAATAATTCATTACCCTCAGTTAAGTCAATACCCTTCCTACCGGTAATTAATTCAGTAGTCATAACTTCAGAAACCTTGGAACTGTCATTGTCGTGAAATTGAACATCTCTCGAGGTGACAATACCAACTAATTTACCACCAATTTTACCAGTTTCTAGAAAAGTTAGTAATAAGTTCCTCAATTTTCAAAATCTGCTTTTAATTTCATAGAATATATAGTCAGTGAATCAATTTTTCCACAACATCGTTTGATGTAAATCGGTAGAACGAAAGTTATTAATTTGTGTTGATCATCATGGTAAATATGCAATAAGGAGAGTAAAAAGAATGAAACGAAATACTTTGCAGAATATTGTGTTAATACATACCAGTAACTGGGAATGAAGTGAAGCCTAATTCAGACTTTAACTTTCTAATTTCTCCAACGGTTGTGTTTGGAGAAATGACAACTGGATCATTGATAAATCCATTTTCGTACTTCTTCACTTTTCTGACCATTTCTGCTTGTTCATCAGGAGTACAGTTGTGGTGAATAATACCAATACCTCCTAACAAAGCCATGTGGATAGCCATGTTTTCTTCAGTAACGGTATCCATAGGAGAAGAAACGAATGGAGATCTTAAGGTAATTTTCTTGGTTAATTTGGTATCCAATCCAACCTTTGAAGATGGAAAGTTAATTAAACCAGGTAAAACCAAAAAATCATTGTATGTTAAACCACCGAAGTTAGAAGAATCAATCAATGTCTTGACATCTAATCCGTCCTTTTTAGAATAGGATTGTAAGTGGGATGTAGCAGAAGAAGCGTCTAAAACCATTGCTCTATTTTTTTGTTGTATTATTTGTATAAATAAGGGGGCAAACTTTGCCAAAAAAAAAAGATTTAAAAGAATTGTAACCTGAGGAATTCATAATCAATTTATATGGTTGATTCCGATGAGATAAAATTTTTCGGAGTAACAACCCCCGGGCTCAAACCATATATCTTTAAGATAGAAGTTGCAAAGACCATTACAATGATGTGTAAGCACACTGCCACTGTGTATGATATATATAAGCCTAGGTAGACAGTTGGCACATCAGATTGGAGTTTTGTTTTAGTATCAAGGCATCATCTTGCCCAGGCTTCTCATATTTGCCAATTAGTAAGGTTTGGTGCACTAATTTATTGCTAATTTAGTGAGAGAGAAGAGTCAAGAACAGGTCATATGATAGATAATTATACTGCCTACAGGGTAATGTGTAGTGTGAGAATTTATATTTGTATTATATAGTAGGATATAAAACTTTCTATATCAATGTTAGTAAGGATGTCTTGTAATACTTAATATTTAAAGGACAATATAGAACAAGTCAGAGTAGCGGTTCTTGAAAAAATCTTCATTAATGATCAAGACCATCAACCAATCGAAACCGATCAATGGCAGGACAAGAAATCATCATAGAATTCTATATTATGAATTAAATAGAGTAATATCTTTAGAATAACATACAATTTAGCTATGGAAGGTGTAAGAAAGGCTTTCACTTGAAAATGTGCTAGTCCAAAATTTTATAGTCTTTGATTTGCCGGGTAACTCCAAACTGATAGAACGTTTGCATAGCTCTATTTGGTATTTGATAGGTTTGCAACATTACGACACAAATCATCATTAGGGTACGAATGTATATAAAATATAGCCGTAGACTAAGAATGTGGTACATAAATAAATCTAAACTAATAAAAAAAATAAACTTAAAAACCTGAAAGGTCACTAAATAAAAGTAAAAATAAAGATAACGTAACATTTATGAATGTTAAATAATTGAACATGATGAGGCTACCAATCCTTGTTAATATTCATAAGATGAAACGGTAGGATAGCCTTAATGACTTGCAACACTAGCACCATTATCATTTGAGTTTTTTCCAGAAAATGCCAGGCTAGATTGTTGCGATCTTAACAGGTTCACATACTCTTCAACCTTTTTCCAGCCTTCTTTTCTTGCAACTTCTCTTGCTCTTTGTTCCTCTAATGATTGATGGTATAACATAGTACAATGGTCATACAATATAGGATTGTGGTCCATAAACACCTTCAAAGCTCCAAATGCTAACAGATGAATACTTCTGTTCCAATTGGAAGTAGCTGAGTTGTGTGGAGGAATTCGGTTTGGAGTGCAAAATTCATCAAGATCACCTTGGACCTGTTGCGGTGATGAAAATGAATCGTAATACTCTTCATCCGTGATGTCATGCATATTAGGATTTAATGGGTCGTTCACATTTGTATTATGGTCAATTGAATGGTTGTTCAAGTCATTCAATATTAAGCCACGGTCAATCAAATTACCATTAGCATCAGTTGGCGCTTCAGGATTCTCTAACAATTTTTGCTGAACCATACCGTTTGTTATACCTGGCTGAGTAGCATTTGTTAATTCATATAATGATGCAAAGATGATGGGCAATACTACCTCTGCATTTTCTGTGATCAAAGTCAAAAAGTATTCGTTCGTCCAGTAACACAAAACTTTCTCACTTACTTGAAAATGTGGAGATGAAATACACTTCAGTAATTGTGCAAATAATGGTATTTGAATCTTGAGGAATTCATTTGGTTCCATAACTTCAAAAATATCCTCAATCTCATTCAAAAACATTACTTCCTTTGGTGAATTAATTTTTGGCCAAAATCTTAGTAATCCCATTATCACATCTTCAGTTAACATCGGATCTTTTTCTAAGAATTGAACTATACAATATGCCAACTGTGGATGGTATAACGACAAACTCTTCACTTTATGTAATGGAATTAAAACTCTTACCAAGAAAATTTTATGTTCCTCTTTTAATGGTAATGCAAAACCATTAATAATCGATCCTAAAATTTCCAATAATTCTCCGATACCATTAAATCTTTCAGTTTCATAAACAAATTGCAAGAAAACGTTATTGATGGATTTTCTGATGAAGGACCGTAAACTCAAAAACTTACCGTATATTCTATGTAATGTGGTCTTCAAACAATCCCTCTCTCTGGGATCCTCGCTGTCAAATAACTCTAGTATTTTCAAAATAAATTCATGATCGATGTATTGCTTAGCAATTTGATGAGTAAAATCAGGGCTTTCGATAAAGCGTAAGAAAAATTCATAAATCGCTTGCATATGAGGCCATGCTAATTCACTAACAGGTTCATCTTCATCAGGATCATAAATATCACCGATTGGATTAACAGGCGGAGGAATTGGCCTGAATAAATTCTTCTTGAACATGCCTACCACATGTTTATACATTTCGTCAGTGTAAGTGAATCTATTATTCAGAATAAAATGAATCAATTCCTGCAAGGTAATTCTTTTAATCTCTTTCCCCCTTGCATCATAAGTGGGGTCGCTAAAATCAAACATTATATTACATTGATCAATCTTCTGAATAAACAATGAAATTTGCTCTTCTGGTAAAATCTCATCGAAGTTTGGTAACTTAACAATTTCTTGATATCTATCAGACGTAGATGGTTCAAACCTAGAAGAGGAATGTCTCTTTGGTGTAACTATCAAATCAATATCAAAATTGTCCCTAGTTGGAGACAGGATATTTGTATTAAGGGGATATCCATGGGGGTGAATAGCCGAACCGGTCTGTGAATGTGGAACATGGCCAGGCTTTATCTGAACTTGATCAAATGGTGAATTCGATGAATTGGGTGAAGCGTTGTTTACCGTTATAGGCGATGTGGGGGTCGGTGTTACAGGCTGTGTGTTTGAACCTGCGGTTGTCACCATCGTTGGAGAATCATTATTTTCATTGTCATTTATAACAATCCTTGGGGAATCTTGTTGAGACTGTTTTGGCAGTTGGGGCAGTTGCGATGCTTGTCCCATAACATTAGCTGATCCTCCACTACTGTTGGACTTTATCGAATTACCACTATTGTGTCTAGAAATAGAAGGAGAGCTAGATTTTGCATTAGAGCCCGAGCTGGAAAGCTTTGACGCAATAGAAGACGAGCCAGATGCCTTCCTTGAAGAATCAGACTTCGGGTCCTTTTCCTTATCTAATTTTTTGTCAGCCTTTTTACCTGTAGATTGGCCCTTGTTTCTTGAAAGTCTATTTTTAAAGCCTTTCATCATTTTGGATTAGCACACTAAGTAAGCTTCTATCAAGATTTATTCACGTTGAAATAGAACTAAACTCCAGAAGCCAAAAACTAATAAATGCTAATATATGCGAATTGGTGATATTGGAGCACTGATATGCTATATGTCACAATTATGAATGCTGATAGCAATATACCAAACTTAATCAGACTAGGAATAATATAATTGTAATATGTTCGATAAAAAGTTGATTAACTTGACACTCTGACCACTTCTCTGATATTAGATTACTTCAACTTTTGAATTTGGAGAAATATAACCTTAAATATGGACGTAATAATAGAAATCCAAATATATTAGAAGAAGCTTAAATTCCAATTGATTACTTTGATTGAAAATCTTCAATTTACCTACCAATGATTCAACTAAACTTCGATATGTTAGCTGAAACAAATTATGCCAATTACTTGTAGTACACTTGTTATTCTAAGGGCTTTCGAATTCGCTTTATTGTGATTATTTTGTGAGGGTCACGACTTTACTACTGTTACACGACTACACGCTATTATTCTTAAGGCAGTTATAGTTGAATGATAGCTCTACATAAGGTTCTAGGTTAGCACTATGTATAACTATGACTCGTATTAGCAGATTATTTAATTTTTGAAAGAAAGCGTAAATTTTAAATTAATATTTCCTCCTCATCGACCTCCGTTACATTTTCAATCAAGGAATTATGTTTATGATTGAGAACAGAACTTAGATAGCAGTTCCACCCAATACTGAATACATTAACAACTAGCAACCTGAACTGAACAGGAATCAAAGCGAAGTTGAATAGTTGGAAAGTAGGCCATACTACCCAATTAGTCTTTAGGGTACTAAACCAATGTGCATGTAATTTTTCACGGGCGACCTGCAATGGATTGTCATTGAACTCCAATATTGACATCACTGTATAGTAGAGTGGAATACCTATGAATGGGGCAAATATCAATTGATCTACTGCAACCTTAGTCAAAGTGTTCAATACTTTACTTGTACTTGGAGATATCCTAGTCTTTGAAAAGGGAAAATTAACTTTATGAAGGAGTCTATACCATTTGTCACCAATGGGTGCAAATATTATTGAGCCGTAGAAAGTTGCTCTTAATGTTCTTTTGTAATCATATTTGTGGGACGAAGGGTACAATGTTTGTGCCAAATAATCGCCAGATCCAAATAGAAATCCTGTTGTTATAATGTTAGTTATAAGTGGGCGTTTGGCTAATAATTGACTATACTTTTGGTATATGGATGCCATGTTATGTTAAGATAAATTCAACATCCTTGACCTGAAAATCACTAAGACCAATTTTTTTGAACCGATAAGGTGGGGTACTGTACATAAATGCTTCGAGATATTTTCACAGTCTTTAGATATGATCACAGCTCCTAGACGAAACAGAAATGATCAGAAATGATCAAATCACGGATAGCTTTCTACTTGATCTTCAATAGTTCTATTTATGAAGACTGGTTTGTAACATTTCCAATAGTGACAAAATGTGTAATCTATGAGTGGCACTATCCTTAATTAGTGCAATACATGCTTACAATTAATATGGTAAAATCACATCTTAGACCTCATCCAGGACAAAAGATTCTCTCGTTTATTAATAAATATATGCTTCACAGAATAATCGTCTATAATCTATAATTGAGAAGCAACGGTTCATACGCATGCCAGCAGCTACTGTCTAGATACTAAACAGCTTTGGAACCCATGACTTCTAGTAAACCACCATTGTGGTTTCCTCAATTTCTTCTTCAGAATGTACTAAGTGATCTAAAATCTCCTCTTTTTGGTGGTTACCATGCATCTTTCCGTTATAAAGGTAGCTCAAGAAGCAATTCCATCCGACTGAACAAATATTGGCTGCAACTATACGAAGATGCACTGGAATGTAAAATAAACTCACCAACTGAAACCCGGGCCACACCATCCAGTTTGTTGTCAACACATTCCACCAATTATGTTGTAATTTATGAAAAGCCACCTCTAATGGATTCTCGTGGCCGGAAAGTGTTGACATCACAATATTGTACATGGGGATCCAAACTAGACCAGGGATAAAGAGTTGATCAATCACTACCCTGTAAACCGTATCATACAAATGTACTCTGTTTTTACTCCATGTTTCCCGGCTCTTGGCTGAAATAAACGGATTTTTGATTAAAGGTAATCTTTTTCCATACCATAACACACCACAAGGGGCAAAAAAGCATGAACCATATATCATAGCTCTCATAGTTCTGTATCCATTATATGTAGGCTTTTCTTCGTCAAGATGATCATGGTTCAGAGGGAATAACATCTGGGCTACTCCATCTCCTAAACCGAATAAGAGCCCAGTAGTAACCATGTTCACCCGAAAAGGGTGTGTTTTCAATAACTTGTTGTATTTTTCAAAGAAGGACATGAAGTCTGACGAGCGTACGATTATTCAGATGTATAGGTATTTAACAAAATTTTGTAAATTTAGCCTCAGATTTGATCTGAGTAAAACTTATCTTTTCGCATCAACCTTCCGCCAGGACAAATTTTTTTCCACATCATATTGAGAAATTGCTTTTCGCCGATCGTCGCATATTACTAGGTATCTCGTGCACCTAAGCATGATTGATTTAATCGCTTAGAGTTAATTATTCTCTTAACCGTGGTCACGTGTAGAGTTGAAGCATTCTTTTCGGTTAGATAGATTCTGCATAGATAACTATACGACAGTATTTATTCTTCTGCTTAATGTAATTCAATTGGGTATTTATTCTAAAGTATATATGTTCCTTAATAATCTTCCATGATATGGGAGTACTCGTTTCTCATTTGCAGGATCAATATTATTTTTAATTTTTTTAATTAAATTCCTTAAGTTTTATGAAAATCTCACAATTTTAGGTGATATTAATATTATTATTTATCCTTGTAGTTAAATATTAAATAGTTCTACAAAATTGAGGATGGCTTTCGCGAGTTTTCGAAATAGGGAATATATGTTTCTTTTTTACGTTATAACATATATCAATTGTTGCAAAAAATCAGTCAACACTGTCCATCATGCAAAGGAAATGGCATATAAATGGCAGGATCAAAGAACCTAAATTAACATGTGCAATAAGGTTTTGATATAATACATTGTCTTAAGTTCCAGGTATCGGAGATATGAGCTATTGAATTAACTGCGATTAAGAAGCGATAAGTATAATTAATTCGGCAATGCCAATCTCACACCTCTCATACTGACAGCTGGCTATATTAGTAGCGTGCAGCTACGCGTGATCACTCAACTTGGTGGATTAAATACACATAGGCGATATACACACCTGTTAGGCAATACATCCGTGCACCTGTGGCTGCACACCCCTTTCTCCGGAAGTCAATAAGTCGCTCCCGGAAGAATATATTCATTCACATAATTTGTTATTTCCTATTATGGTTAATAAGTGTACCGATTAAGTAAAGAGTAAACAATCATTCCTTACAGGGTAATTCGTGAATAGCCGCATAACATAATGTTGCTTTTGTGTAAGATCACCCAATTCGGTTGTGATGGTTGATCATCCTTTAATAATTAAAACACCCAGTCTCCCCCTGTGAAATTCATATATTACAATTTTTTTCTGTATAATAGTTTCATATAGTTAGAAACCATAAGGAACAATTGCAAGAATACTAATACACAATGCATAGAACTTATTCTTTAAGATCTTCGAGAGCTCCAACTGCTGCTCAGTTACAATCGCCTCCACCACCAACTTCGTCCACCAAGCAAAAGTTTTTCGGTAAAGGTTCGCTTTCTCACACTTTCCGTAAGCAAGCTGCTGGTTCGATTGGTCCAGAATTGAGTAGAAAATTGGCCGTCTTAGTCAAGATGGAAAAGAACTTGATGAGATCTATTGAAATCACTTCAAGAGAAAGAAAGGACGTTGCTAAGCAATTATCAATCTGGGGTGAAAGTAACGACGAAGATGTCAGTGACATCACTGACAAGTTAGGTGTCTTAATCTATGAAGTTGGTGAATTAGAAGACCAATTCATTGACAGATACGACCAATACAGAATCACCATCAAGTCAATCCGTGACATTGAAGGTTCTGTCCAACCATCCAGAGACAGAAAGCAAAAGATCACCGATCAAATTGCTTACTTGAAGTACAAGGACCCACAATCTCCAAAGATTAATGTTTTGGAACAAGAATTAGTCAGAGCTGAAGCCGAGTCTTTAGTTGCTGAAGCCCAATTATCCAACATTACCAGAGAAAAATTGAAGACTGCTTTCAACTACCAATTCGACTCCACCAGAGAACACGCCGAAAAGATTGCTCTTATTGCTGGTTACGGTAAGGCCTTATTGGAATTGTTGGACGAATCTCCAGTCACCCCAGGTGAAACCAGACCAGCCTACGATGGTTACGAAGCTTCTAAGCAAATCATTATTGATGCTGAAAACGCTTTAGCCTCCTGGACCTTTGACTCTGCTGTTGTCAGACCAACCTTATCGTTAGCCACTCACGAACACGATGACGAATACGACGTCGATGAATTAGCTGACGATGCTAGAAACATGCAAGTCACTGAAAAGGAATGGGAAGAAGAAAATAGAGTTACTGCTTAAATAAACTGTTGCTAATATTTGACCTGGCTGTCTGTTATTAATCCGTCATCCATTAAATTATCTCGTATTTTTGTTGTTTCTTTTACTTTTTGCCCCGGCTTGCAATAGATTATAAGCTTTTATTCATCTCTGCAGTAAGAACATTGGGATCTGTACTAATTAAAATGTTATTTTTACATAAATGATAATTCCCTTATTCTTTTATGTTCTTTAATTTACTTTTATTTTACTATTTAAGTGTTATATACTTGCTTATTGTTTTATTAAATGTTTTTATCGTTATCTTTTGTCAAGAATTAAATTTCATGTCACCATGTAATATTTGAACCGCATGCTTGTTAGCTTGCCTTAGCATAATTTTTCATATGCCAAAGGCTGTATTCTATCAGCTGCAATAGAAGCTTAAGCGGATAGTTACACAAAAACACGATTAGCAACAATTTAGAATTAGCCAAACACGACCGTTCCTTGTTTTCGTCAAGATCTTCAATGTAAACAAGGATTTCTTCTCCTACATCAGTATTGAATGGTACAATTATTAGCAGACATCTTTACATAATTGGACGAACGTACCACATAACGATTAAATTGTCCTTCTTGATATAAGACATAAGTTTCTGGAGATTCAATAACTTAAATTATAAAGATATTTGAATTGGTTTACCAGAGGTCGAAACAGTAGAGTGATACTAGTTTGGTACTTATTCTTGTTGAAAACATTATAATAACAATTTAATAACAGTATATTGGTTTGCGAGACTGCTTGTAAAATATTGCTACATCACACTATAAATATATACGGTGGTTGACCACATTGAAGTTTACAAACTGCACTACTGTCATAATATAATACTTTGTTATTATTCCTAATACGCTCGCTTTACTTATTTTTGCTAAGTGGTTGATTGGTTGTGACATATTAATTCTTAAGACTGCCTTGGACATTAGTAGCGGTAGTTCCTGTTCATAGAATTTACAAAATATTTGAACACCAAGATGTCCAACGACTTCTTGCAATCGTCTCCTTCACGTCATATGATTGACCCGGCGATTTATAACACATTCCCTGACATACAAGAGGACCGGAACTCTTCTAACTCTAACAATGGAAGCACACTGCACCATCAGCAGCAACATCAATCACAACAATTACCAGTTGGTCCACCATCTGCTCAGAAAAACCACAATCAATTGCCCTCAAATTTAACAGGATGGACACCATTGATTTCGAAAACAATCTTTAATGATCAGTTAATTTCGTATAACTCCACCCCAAGTGGAAAATTCTTTAATGGGGTGTTATCTGGTCATGTAAACAATGAAATCGACTATGCGCAAGGACTAAATTTAACGCCATTTTTGACTCATAATTTGAATATTCCAAACTCCAATTCACATATTAATGGAATAAGTAATATCACCCCATTCCATGACAAAACATTACATTTAACTGACTTTTTTATGGATTCCCCAATTAAACAAACTCCAATCAAGAATATTGACACGATTACTCCGTCGAAATTCAAAATTGGAAGCGAAAGAAAATATGTAAAACAATCTGTTTTCCAGGACCCAAAGAGTGCACTGAAGCGATCCATTACTCAGATTGACACTCCTCCAAGACAACCTCACAAATTATCAATTTTAAACAAGCACGAAGCAAGATATGAAAAAACTAATACCATTGATGGTAAAGTTAAGGCTAAAGATGAAGAAGAAGACGAAGAAAATGAAGATGAGGAGAATGAGAAAAAAGGTAGTGACATATCTGTTCAAAATAAAAATAAATTATATGGTCTGAATTTGCAAACACCATCAAAGACGGTTCTAAAAGACATTTCTAATATTAATCAAAACCAAGGTAAATCAACACCAATGCCTAGGAATTTAAAGAAAAGCAAAGAATTTTTTGAGACACCCTCTAAGCAATTTCCCGACTCTTCGCCATCTACAGTTATCATGTCTAGTGCGGCAAAATCATCACCATCAAAGCCCGTGAAAACTAGTGATATGGACAGCGGTAAACATGTCACTGTTAAATATTCAACAACTCAAAACTTACCTCCAAGCCCTACCCCTAAGAAAGATATTCCAAAAATTACTGATAATGCTGATGTATTAAAGCCTGCCATGGGTGTATTTTCTGAGAAGAAGTCAAAACCACCGCTTAAAAGTAAACAAGCAGTTTTCAAAAATTTGTCTGGTGATTCGACGGGTACATCGACAATAAACACTAAGACAAAGAATAGCAGCAAGGCTCAAATGCAAGCTGGTATGAATAAATTTCAAATTGTTTTTACTGATGTGCATACCTTGATGAACAAAAAGAATAAGCTGAAGAAATCGAATAACGTAGCCTCAAAACCTAAATTAAAAAGATCACAATCAACTAACAGATCCAATGACGAACAACCTCATACTATTGATAATGGAAATTCAAGGAGCTTAACCAGATCATCGACAGCACCAGTCACTAATCACCAATCTTATCAAACAGCGCATAAAATGGTTTCTTCAAATGATCACAACGTGTCTATGAATACAAGCTCAAAAGAGGTAAGTCTCATATCAGGGAATAGTAATTCAATGAACACCAGTAATTTGAATATGTCATCAACAGACCATTCTTCTTTTGAACTAGGTGGGTTGTCTTCAACTCCGAATGGAAAATATTTTTTGGATAAAATGTTTGATAAACCTTCTCCCCAATCGCAACAGAATTTGAACACCAACCAGTACTATTCTTTACATCAATCTTCATTTTCGAATATGCCACCTCCAAATCCAAATACCTCAAGACCTCCTCCAACAGTAGCACAACACAATTTACTGCATGCTCAACAACAGCAGCAACATCCAATGATGATGATGATGATGATGATGAGTACACCACAACATCAGAATGTTGTCAATTATGGACCGAATGTTTACAATTCTGCTAATGAAATATCTCCTACATCAGATAACCAATTTACACCCAATCCTAACGTTTCAAGCTTCTCATATCAACAATACACTAAGAGCGGAAAGCCATCGCATAATACTATGGGACCTATGATGGTAAACCTGAAAGAATCATCACAATTTTCTCAATTGATCCCGGTATCGACAAGTGATGAGGACGAGGACGTGTTACTAAAGAGAGAAGAGGACAGTGTATGATAGAAAACATACATTTATTAGACTGGTCATACAAGCAATTTAATTGTGATAAATTTTTATTGACTATTAACTTTTTGCAAAACATTATTTGTTTATTATATTCACTTCTTTCGTAATGAACTCGTTGTTTTCGCCCATTATTCATAATGTTTTTTAATAACTTCAACTATATATGTGTGCATAGACATTTAATATATTTCGTTGGTTTCGTATTTACAACTAGATGTTTGGAGGTAATAACAATGCTGCTATAACATTTGGTCTTTCCGTAGCTAACAAATCAAAGATCTGTGCCGCATTATTTGAATCAGAATGATCTACTTGAATACCCAAATTAGAGAAGTACTTTTTGGTTGAATCACTCAACATCCTTGATTTACAACCTAATCCGACAACACAAATTTCAGGCTTTGGATGTATTTTATTAAATATTTGTAACACATCTTCATGAAAATCTATTATAAATCCATTTATAATATCGAAGCCTTTGTTTGGTTTAGACAAGTTGATTTCAAATGTTTCACTATCAAGCAATAACGTACCAATTATGTTTCCCTCTTTATCGGGTGATGTTATCAATAAATTGTTTGCAAGATGAAATCCATTACTTTTAACTGTTTCAATATAATTTATAGGTTTTTGTGAAAACATCAATATATCGTTTCTCTTTATCATGTCCGCTGGGTTGGTCGTTGATTCGCCTTTTCCAGTTGGGGCATTTAACTGTGTTTGATTCACAACTTTTTTTCCTCCAAATAAATTGAATGACAAAGCAGAAGAAGTGAAGTATCGTCCCTTAGTGCAGTTGTATGACTGCCTCAAAATATTTCTTGATAGCATCGTACGTAGATAAAAAAAGAGAGAATACAATAAATTTTAGAGTAAAATTTATGTTGTTCTATATTCGCGAATGGGTGCAACATTTACTGTAAGAGATTACTATTTCTCATTTACTATTCTATTACTCTACTCTACTCTAATTTCAAGCATATTATCTTCTAATGTCAATGCAAGAATAAATATATAACACATCGAAAGCTACTTGATATATGCAATTTTGTAATGTATGGGGATGACTTATTCTTTGAATGCTACCAAAAATAAACAACTACTCATGCAGACTATTGCCTGAGGATATGCTGGATATTTTCTTTCTCTCTTGTTCTATTTTATCTCTGACCGCTACTTTACACTTTTCCCAAATATCCAGCTTTATTTCTGATGGAACTTCAGGTAGCTTCTTGGGTGAAGATAAAGAAATGTCTTTGCTAAATGTTGTTGAGCTTGTATCTGATTTAGAAGAATCAAAAGTATTATTAGCCAGTTGGTGAGTTTGGGTAGCAGCAGTGTTTATAGAATTATTAAATAGCTGATCCATCTTCATTTTTGCTACTGATGGCTTACTTTTCAATGTCCTTGTAGGTGATGACGATCTACTTTTATTAAGGTCAACCATCGACTTCCTTGGTGACAACTTGGGAGGAGATGGTGCTAATGATAGATTTGATATCGAATTCGTGAGTTTGGAGTTGGAGGATATATATGACTGCAGTAAACTTGATACTGATTTAGATGGTGATGCAGGAACGGACACTTTAGTCGGAGAACCTTTCAGTGCATGGTGCTTTAAGTATTCCTCATAAATACGGTTCAACTGGACAAAAAAGGCCACTCTTTTAAGGTAGTATTGAATTATGGTTGCTTTTTCAGTCTCTGAAATAGATATTGAGGAGTCTATATCAGGAACTTTTTTCTCCATATTTAGAACTTTGCTAATGGAATCCATAGCATACTGATAACGCAAATTAAAATCTATTTTATGGTGATGTTCAGCATATATATCTGATGTTGATAGTGTGTTAGCGATGAATGCAATCGAAGTATTTTGTAAAGGTAGAATAGAAAACTTAAAATGCTTTACATCTCTATCTTTGTAGTCCTTGAATCCAGGGAATTCACTACTTCCTATCTCTTGGGGTGATAATGTACTCTTGCTAGGATATTCCGAAAGAATACAAAACGATCTGAATTTGTTTTTAGTAAAATCAATCGTGACTCTGTATTCGTCATTGATCATTACCTGCTTGAATTTTTCGACATTATACATTGCATCTAACTTCTGAAAATAGCTATCTACTTCCGAGTTATTAATTATCTTCTTGTCACCATCAACGTATTTAAAGCTATTGATTGTACTATCATTTCCTAGAAACGACGAAAGCTTGTTAAGCCTCAACCTCTTAAAAACATACAACAACGATTTTACTTGCAAATCCGCCGAATCATGACCCACTCCCTGTTCAAAACTAGGAATTTTAGCAGTTTTATTAGCACTTGTACCAAAGAGACTGAAAAAGTTCATGACTGATAAACATTGATGTCAATTTAATTAAATATATTTCTGTGTTTTGATGTAAACACTAGATCTGTTTGTAAATTTTCAGATATTGAAGTCAAATTTCAACTAGGTATAATAATTTCACGGCAACAGATATCTAATATTGGATGAATTTGTGAACCCTGACTTATGATTACAACAATTAGCAATTGTACTCGTTAAAATGGTTAGGTTTGAATCAAATCAAGTTCTGTATTGATCTATGAAGAGAGGTTTTGTGTCATTTTGATAACACCACAGATTTAAATCTGGCGTCTTCAATTACTGTCTAGTTAGATAAATTGATTATAAATTATTTGGAAGTAGTTTGCAAATACGTACGATGTCTACTCAATCAGGTATAGTATCATCAGAAGGACTCTTAGACACATTTAAGAATTTCAAAAGTGGTTCTTTTGTAATTAAAGTCTCATCTGATAATACGCAACTAATCGTTGATGATGAATTTCAATCTAAGGAGACAGATGTATCAAAAGCATTGCTAGAATTGAACAAATATATCTCGGGAATATATCCGCATCCAGTTTATATTATACTTGCGCTTTCATCAACTCTGAATTCTAACTCCGATTATGCTTTCATCAGTTTTATCCCTGATGTTGCACCAATTCGTGAAAAAATGCTTTATGCATCCACTAAAAATACGCTATTAACTCAATTGGGCTCAAATAATTTTAGCAAATCACATATATTTGCTTGGACGGAACTAGATGAGTTAAGTTTTGAGAATTTCAAACATTCATCGGAGGTGCAAGAGGATGGTCCTTTGACTCATGAAGAAAAGACATTACAAGAAGTGAATTCGTTACAGGGATTAACTTTAGCTGAATCAGGAGCTAGAAGAAGCAACGATACTGCTTACAAGAAGAAATTGGCATCTATGCATGATCCTTCGTCGACAAGCGGAGGTGTATTGATGTTTACAGTTGATTCAGAGTTGGAATCTGAATTTAAGGTCTTGTCTCAAAACACTGATAATGGAAAATTAATAATATTTGGTATTAATTTAGACAACGAAGGAATGGAATTGATTTCCTCGACCACGGGTGTGAAATCAGCATCTTTAGTAAATGATTTAGAGTCTGTAACGGAGAAGCGGGGTGCTCATCCTCTTTTTGCCCTTTACAATTACTCCACAAATAAATTTGCATTCGTATATTCATGTCCTTCTGGTTCTAAAGTTAAGGAAAGAATGGTTTATGCGTCTAATAAGCAGGGCTTAATTAATCACTTGAGGGATATCACCGAATCTGATGAGTTGCTGATAGACAAAATTTTCGAGATTGGCGATTTAGATGAACTAGAAGTAAATGAACTTGAAATCTCACAGAATGAAGAGAAAAACCCTGCATCTACTACAAGAAATGGGTTGAAGTTCACCAAGCCTAAGGGACCTCGTCGTAGGTAGAATGATAATTAGAATAAGCGTCAGTCATTATTATATATATTATATACATTATGGATATTTTTATGAGTAGATTACCATTTATAGTATCTCAATTCATCCTGAACAAATTTGTCAACTATGGATTTTAATTTTGCTTCATCGTCGTTAAAATAGTCTACAAGTATTGAAGATTTCAATTGTCCTGTTTCACCGGCTACCAACGATAAAATATGTGCATAAATCTTTCTCGATGCACTCTTGTTAATTTGAATATATATTTCCTCAGACCTAATTGTGGGAGAATGGCTGGAATTAGATTCGCCTGGTCGGTAAAGTGGTCTCAAATTATTTCGAATATGCTTTTGAATTTCTACCTTATGTTCAAGTGACAACTCCACATTAGTTGGCTTATCAAGACAAGCTTTCTTTCTTTGCGATTTAGTTTCACTATCAGACAGGGCCACGCTATCCACAGAAGCAGTCTCAGTTGGATTAAGTAACACTTCTGTGGTATCACGGTTGGTCGAAACTTCCTGATTTGTTGGAATTTTACTGTCATGTCTGCATCTTGTCTGAGATGACGATCGAAGTTGGCTGATTAGACTCGAGATTCTTGTTTTTTCTTGTTGCTTCTGGGGAAAGTTTTCCAACTTTGCTGATGTCCCTTCTACTAACTCAGAATCCGGTTGAGGCAACTCTGAGAGCTTTTTCCTTCTCCTTCGTGCTTTTGGTTCCGCCAGATTCTCACCTATCGATGCTACTACGTTTGAGCCTTCCGTACTACTTTGACACCTGCGTGCTTCATCAAATACGTCCCATGATTGTGCCTCTTCTTTAGATAGCTTTTGTTTCTCCTTCAATTCCTTTCGCAATATAACACCGCCATTTATTATGGGCGGAGAATACACTCTATTATTCTCAGCTTGACGATTAGTTTCATCTTCATAATTAGTGGCGTCATATAGAAAATCATCATCTAATTCGCCATTTTCATTATGTATAATCAATCCTGGTCTTCGCTTTGGATTCTCTCTTGGAGTATGTTCCAGAGGAACACTAAGGTTATTACTTACTCTGGGTACAATATTAATAGGCACAGAAGAATTCCTAAACACGACATCCGTAATATGAGAATTCAACAGCGATGTTACTGTTCTTGGTGTTCTTATTCTATTTGCCCTTGGTCGTGTGTTACCTGCACCTCTCGATGATCTGCTTCTATTTGAAGCTACACCTGATTGATAGGTAGAAATAGCTGCTATTTCTTGTAGATTATCGCACATTGGACAGCACCAAGTGAGATCGTCGGTCTCTTCATATGTATTTACACCCAAGCAATTTAAATGAAATGCCGATGGGCAATTATTGCAATAGATAAGATTTCTTGATAACGAACTCCTGTAATCGGAACTCGAGCAAATAGAACATAGTTTGTTATTACTAGAATAATTTTCTGTTATTTGATCTAATGAGTCATGATTATTTTCTCTTTCAGTAGCCGGATAATTCGTTGGTATTATATATTCTTGTGGGATTTGATCTATAGCATCATTAGGCAATAATTTATCTCTTATTGATATCAGTTTCTGTATTTTATCACGTTTATCATATCTGGAAACATCTATCTTATAAAACAATTTTCGGCACGTAGGACAAGAATTTGAATGGGACGACCACTGTAGAATGCAATCTTCATGATAATAGTGGTGGCAATTTTTTATAGTTCCTATAGTACTAACAAGTGTAATCAGTTCCAAACAAATTGTACACTCCTCATCCTTTATGACGAGGCTCATGTTTCCCGTTGTCAGAATGCTATTATATGAAACTTAGTAGTAGTATTATGTTTTTGGTTGCTTCTGGTTTGATCCTTTTAGTATTAAAAATTATTTGCAATTAAGTGCGAATTTTAAATTCATATTGAAGATTATGAAATACATTTCATTTAAATTCATATGGTAAGAAGTAATGTCTCGTCATCAGTATGATTTGATACAATGTATGAAACAACCAGGAACTCATATAGGTATGCTTTGTCAACTGTGTGATGGTAAATGCCCAATTTGCGATTCTTTTGTTAAACCGACTACTAAAGTTCGTATTTGCGATGAATGTTCATTTGGTCATTTAGCTAATAAGTGCATTCTCTGTGGAAATAACCTAGGCGTTAATAAAGAATTAGGATCTGCTGCATATTACTGTTTAGAATGTGTACGATTGGAAAAAGACAGAGAAGGTTGTCCTCGGATTGTTAATGTTGGTAGCTCAAAAGCCGATATGATACAGAATAAGAAGAAGGCAAATACAACCGGAGGATTATTACAATAAGTGACTAGGCTTATAAAAGAAGCGAACGCAAATATTATTAGAATATACAGTTGTTAAAAAAACATGCGATATGCATAAAGAACTAAAGTCATCATTCACATACTCATAAACATTTGAAATATTAATCAACTAGATAAAAATGATGCAATTCCAGATATTAATACGATAATAACACGATAATAATACGATAATAATACGATAATAATACAATAATAATACTAAGATCAATACGTCATGGAGGTTGAAATTAATATACAAATATTCATAAAACAAATCATAAAATTGTAGCGGATCAATGCATATCCATATCCATTCTCTTGGCTTCAACACCAAGTTCAACTACTGATTTAATGCCATCTTTCCATCTGTCATTTAAATAATCATTCACCGGTTTGAAGTCAACTACTTGTCTCCTCTTCCGTAATACATTTATTTCTTCGATTCGTTGTCTCTTGTTACTAAGATCTTGTTTATATTCCTCCTCTATCGTTGCGAGGTTGCTTATATGATGCTCTTGTAACTGCTCTAGTTGTTGCTCGTTCTGTGACAACAAGGACAAGTCTCGGTTTTGAAGTAGTGAATAAGAAAGGGTTGCGTATAAATTATCGTAACGTATATCCTCCCCTCCAGACGCATTTGTTGAAGTAAACTCTGAATATTTAGTCATATCTATTCCATCTTGTAATATTTTAGCATTAGTCTCATCGATATCCTCATCATCCTGTTCTTGTTCATATCTTTCGATTTCTTGCATTAAAAGAGGTCTAGACAAATTGCTCTCACTATTCTCTCTAAGTGGCAACATCTGTTCGACTAGTGGATGCAATGTATTATTACTTTGATTGGTTTGTGTTTCCAACTCATTTATTACCAATTGTTCGACATGCGTTCTTTCATCTGGTGTAACTATATCATCAATGTCTATTTGTCAGTTAGTTTCGTCCATAAATACAAAATCTTAAAATACATACATGGTAAATGGTCTATTGGTTCGTTGTTAATAATTACCATTCTATAGGTTATCGTAGTACAATAGTTCGACTATAGATCTGATCTGGTGAAAAAAAACACCTAAGATGGCTACTACTAGTATCTCCTGTTATCACCAACCAATAGAACTCTTACTCACGTGATTTAGACTAAAATTTTTTGAAATGGATGGGGAATACTCTATGAACAAGACATTATCCTACTATGTAACAGCGGTCTACAGAGGCATTTAAGATATTTAATACAAGTCGAATTCAATACAATACACAAAAAGTTAACTAAATATTATATGAGATTTAATAATTAATTATCGTTATTTGATAACTTATTTGTTTAAGACATCGGCATCGTATCTTTGCTTGAACCATTGGATGGAATCTTCTTTGTTAGTCTTGTGGTTGTTACCAATGGTACCTCTACATCTCTTTCTTCTGGTAACTCTGGCACCAGCTCTACCCATAACAACGTAGAAATCCATACCGTAAATACCGATACCTGGATCGTACTTGATACCTAAATCAATGTGTTCGTCAATACCGAAACCGAAGTTACCAGTGGCGGAGAAGTTCTTGTTTCTTAATTGGTATTCCTTGACCTTTAAACCTCTTTCTAAGATTTCTTCAGCCTTTGGACCTCTGATGGTAACGTGGACAGAAATCTTTTCGTTTCTTCTGATACCGAAGGTTCTGACGGTGTATCTAGCCTTGGATTGGACTGGGGTTTGACCGGATAATTGTTCTAAAACCTTTGAGGCTCTGGTCAATCTGTCACCAGATTCACCAACACAAATGTTTAAAACTAATTTTTCGATATGCAATTCACGCATAGGATTTTGAGCTTTAGCAGACTATAATGGTTAGTATTTGTCTCGTTACTGTTACATTTGGTAAATGTGTCCTGGATGTTCCATTTTTCATCCACTTTTCAAGATTTCCCTCTACACTTGTTTTCCAACTGATCATGGACTTTCTGTACATATCTTATGAACATCTCTGAAATATTTCATCCAATGATTTCATTTCTACTTTGAATGCGATATTACCGTAATTTCCACAAATTATTGGATATACTGACGGCCTCCATCTCTCTTTCTATACTATTAAACTAATCCATTTTTAGGTTTCAATATCAAATTAAATCGGACTTTTCCAGGACTATCATTCATTCCAACTTCATCTCTCATGTATCATTTAAACATACCATATTTGGCTATTATTCGTTTCTGTTTAAGGGAGCTTCAAACTAGTCAATATTTTAGTCCTAAAAATTTTCAATTCTATATACTATATTGAATAGTTAGCGCGAACAGAGTGAAAATTATCGCCAGGATTTGAACAATTCACACGACCCAAAAATTTAAAAACGGGAACTTTTGTATGTGATGAAAAGTTAGGGCGCAGCCCTTCGATAGTGAGCATTATATAATCATAGTATATGGGTTGCAGTTGCAACAGTAGTGGTTGTGGTGGCTCTAGTGGCATGTAAGATGCCATTGGTACGGTTCACTACAGGATGTTCAGTTAAGCAATATGCATTAGTTTATAGAATTTTATAAATGGAGTCTAACCGTCAACATTGTTGAAGGATTTTTCCTTTTCCTTGATGTCCCAGAAGATGTCACCCACATTGTGGTTTCCGTGGTAGACCCAACCAGCTTCGGTAACATGATACAAGTTGACAGAACCACCGGAGTATGCATCCCTGTGAGTAGCAGCCAAGATACTTCTCTTACCTAAATACAAGGCCTCTTCGACCGATAAGTCCCATCTATACTCGGAGTCTAACACACCGTATGCGAATGTTTGACCTGAACCCACACAGAATCTTTCACCCTTCAATCTAGATCCGTCGGAGTCGACGTAATAGATGGTTGGACCCTCTTTCTTGGTGTAGCCACAAATCATTGTACCCATAGATAAGCCCATTCCCTTGTATTCGTAGACTAAGTTACTTAAAATCTTAGAGGCCGCAGCAACAGAAATACGTTCTTTTTCTCTTAATTCGTGTAATCTACATTGGGTACCTAACCAGGTCTCCCAGTATTGACAGTCCGCAGCACCACCAGCCATGGTACCTAATAAATCAGGGTTAATTCTGATAACCTTATTGACGGTCTGCGATGCAATCCAGTTACCCTGGGTGGCTCTCGAGTCAACAGCAACAACAATTCCCCCTTGGAATCTAAAGGCCAAAGTTGTGGTACCATGGGCAATCTTAATTTTACAGTCTGGATTACTAGCATCATCGGTATGTGCTCTTAAAAAGTCGGTTGGTTGTGAAATAGGTGGTAATTGGATAGATGGCGCCAAATCCAACTGGGAGTTTTCTGCAAAGTCTGACTTAGCTGCATTTATTTCCTTAAGAACACTATTGGTATTGGAATGTGTGAATTTCTGTGCAATAACATTCATCTTAATTATAGTCTTAATGTATTATATGATCCACTTATCGACTGATTATTATCTAAATTTAGTTGGTTTTCCAAAACAATTGACAAATTTATGGAACTTATATTGTCGGTTTAACTTGTAGTATCAAAAAATCGATAAATAAGGTGAATTGTACAATCTATATGTTTAAATACTAGCTTGCCACCGTCTCTATTGATTTTTAGATATCTCAAAGATAGCCAAAGTGGTTTTGTGATCAAATCGATGCACGTGCAATCCTTAACTATGGTCAACTACATAAATACCATACTAAACTAAAATAATACATTAACCCATTATAAAATATGGAGCGTCTATAAATACTTGGCTCGACCAAGTTCATAAGAGATGAAAGTTGAAAATCACTATTAATACAAATTCATTCTATTTTAATTATCTTTCTTGAATTGTCTTCGAGTTTTTCTTCAACTTTGTCTTCATCGCTTGCAGATCTTTTTGTGCCCGATGCATTGGAAACTGTCGTCTGTTCAGCAGATTCACCAGTAGTTTTTTCTCTTAAATTAGGTGAGTTTGCTGTTGCAGTAGAATTATTTTGGCTCTTTGTAGGAGGAAACGAGCCAGAAGTGAATGATGGCGGTCTTGGGACAGCTGTTTCATCCTTGTTTCCATGGAAGGAAGGCCTTGCGGGCTTATTAGATAAAAACTGTGGAGGATTGGATAAAGCACTTGGCTTGGAAAAGCTTTGCGGTTTTGGTAATCCTGCTCCCGAAGAATATGATGCACTGGTAAATGTGGATTGAGATGGAGACGATGATTCTGACTTTCCAAAAAAAGTTGGAGGCTTCGACAACCCAGATTTATACACGGGTGGTCTAGCTAGCGATGGAGACGCACTAGGGGACTCCGACTTTATGTCGCTCAGATAGTTGGGTTTACTATCATTGGAAAATTCCTTAGACACGTTGGGATTGGTTTCTTTGCTATTCGAATGAGTTGCCAGCTCTGGTCTATGTGATGATAGTGTGTGTTGTTCCTTCGACTTATCAATCGGTAATGTCGACAGCGACGAAGCTTTAGGCGATCCCGCCAGTTGCGGAGTATTTACCAGACTAGGGGTTTGCTTTTCAGGACTGGATGCTAGTGATTGTGATGTTGGGCCAGGTGTGCCCCCTCTGCTTGCAGGTCTAGAAGATAGTGTTCCTTGCTTTTCTTTAATAGATTTGGTTAACGCAATATCCAAAATCTTGCTCACTTGTTGCGGGGCCTTTTCAACCAAAAAGCTTAAAGCATTATCGCCACATCCTGCTTTAACACCTATGATATTTACCTGTGCAATGGTAGTGGCAAGAGCTTTCGTAATAACTTCGGTTGTAGTTGCAGTATTATATGATAGCTTCCTTGCTTTATATAATGTAAATAACTCTTTTTGCAAGTAAGCTAACGATTTTTTGGTGTCTTGATTCATTTTAGGCTTTTCTTCGTGCAGTGGTTGAGTGCCTTGCGATACTGGTGACAGCAAAGGTGGAGATTGTGACCTATTAGCCGCTAATTGAGCTTTTATGGTATTGGTACTTGTCGGTGGTTGCGGTGAGACAGTCGAAGTGGCCGGAGAAGAAACAGTTGCTGGAATGTCATTACGCTTCACTAATTCACCACTACTATTTACTTGTAAAGTTGATTGTGGTTTAAAATAAAGTGGTGCTTTTGACCCAATCAAGCCATCTCTTCTGATTTCACTGGCAAGTTCCGCAATTGTCTTGGGTTTTTGACCATTAGTACTAGCACTGCTCATTTGCTTTTGTTGAAGTTGAGAAATAAATTGCGATTGTGGCATACGGAGACCAGTATTCAAAGGAGATAATCCATAAGGAGATGCAAAGTTCCTTCCAACAATATTGTGCGTAGCCCCTTGCTGTGCTTCTAACCTCTGTTTCTGTTTCAACTCTTCTGCCTTTATAGCTGCTGCCTTAGCTTTAGCAGCAGCCATTTCTTGTTGTTTCTGTTTCACTTTTTCTCTTTCGGCAATGTAGGCATCATCTATTCCCCAAGTCCAGCCTGCATCATAATCTTTCTTGGATATCCTTTTAAATATTTTATTTAAAGTAACATTATGGCTCACAGATGTTTGCCAGCCATCAGGGCAATATTTGTAGTATGGATAAATATCCTTAATTGACTCATTGATTTCAGAAAGTGTTAGGCCCAATTCCCCACCTTTGGACTTCAAGACATTTGTAACCATTAAAGGATACGATAATGTTGGTTTAATTCTATAATGTTCAGGAATCTCGTCAATGGTATAAATACTTTTAGCAGCCTTTTTGATTTGACTGATATCTTTTCTTCGTTTAGGAACCTTTGGTGTGTCTTTTTGTTCACTTAAGTTCTTCGGAACACATACGGGAGGAAGTTCAATTTTCGAGTTTATAGTAATTGCTCGTATAGGGATTCTCACAGGTGTAGATGTCGTTGAAGTTATTGTTTGAAGTTGGACATCTAGTTTTGGAGCTGGCGGTTTAGGAGGCATCAACGGCTTAGACATCTGGCTATTCACCAAATGTGCCATAGAATGATGAGTTCCCTGTGCAATTTTCAATGGCAAGCCTGAATTGGCTGATCCTTGGGCAACTAAGTGTGTTGGAAGACCAGCTAATGGAGATGACATAGTTGTTAATCTGTTATCGACTAACTGAGCTTTAGATAACCCATTTGTTGGTGTTTGTCTTCCATATAATCTTGATGCAGGAGGTTGAATAGAAGCTGGGCGTCCCATTCTTGGAACTGCGGGCTTCCCCATAAGTGGTGTCGATCGAGTTGGAGGCTGGGGTATAGATCCTGTATTTGGCTTGGTCTTTGGTTTATTAAGAGGCAATTTTTTTCCTGCCATTTTCCTGAGTTGTTGCAGTTCCTTTTTCCGTTTTTCTTGTTCTAGTTGTTTTCTCTTTTCTTCCTTTTCTTTCATTAAATCCTGGTGGTGTGCGTCTATAAGAGGGGCTAGTGTTGCGATTTCTTGATCTAAGACCGATAAGTCTAAATCTATATCGTGCATTTCATTTTCATTTTCATTTTCCTCATCTCTATCCAATTCATCTTCATCCCATGTTACACCCTGCTCAAGATTATGTTGTTGGACTAACTTATCTATTTCGTCTTCTTCGTTTGAAGCTTCATTGAATTGAGTTAACTTTAATAAGTTCTCTTCGTCTAGATCCATCTCTCCGTCTTGCCCATGGTTTTCAGGATCATTTAAGATCGATTGAATTTCTGAATCAAGTAAATCAGATTCTTCTTCGTCTATAGCACTGATAGAATTTGTTCCCAATTCATTTAATATATCATCAATTTCATCGTTGGTAACTGACTTCTTCCTGGTGCTTGACAATCGCCTTGGCCCATCAGACTTTGACTGTGATCCACTTCGGGAGGTACGACTAGGAATATCCGAATTTGAGTTTGACGGAGATGCCAGTATGCTAGGTTTAGATTCTTTTCTTGGTTTATCGGATTCAAGTGATTTATTTGGCTTTTGATCATTCTTCGAAGGAGACTCTGAAACCTTATAGAGGTTTGACCTTAAGTTTATTGCATCACTAGGATTGAATTGTTTATCAGCACCCGCTGAGTTGTCATTGGTATTAGAATCTATCGAAGGTAGCACGAAAGCAAAGGTTATATCCCCTATCTGTATTTTGGTTCCATCAGCCAATGGAACTGTTATTCCCTTTTCAGTAAATGCATCGTCAACAAACGCACCATTTCTTCCTAATATTGATAATTCAAATCTTTGAGTACCAAAGTTATAGAATATTTTCGCATGTCTTCTAGATATTGCCTTTGTAGAACTCAAATGGACATCTACCGCATGATGAGAACTCTGCAATAACTCATCATTAGATTTTCTTCCTAATATTACCTGCAATGTTTGCACAAAAAAAGTAAAGTTTTCAAAGTCTAATCTCGCGTACGCTGAAATCTTAGAGCTATCTTTTTCATCCTCATGATTTGACGATCCCAAGGCTGCCTCGCTTGTTATTGGCACAAGCGACAGGTTTCTCCTTATATCGGCTTGCGACGATGAATTCTTGTATCTATCATATGTCTCTTCGTCAATTGGATTAGGAGATTGAGAATTGCTGACAGTCTTACTGGTATCATCGAAATCAAGCACTATCTTATTCATTGGATTCTGTATTTTATCTAACGGCCCAATATCCAAGTCCTGCAAGTCCGGTAAATTCATCTGCGTAGCTATATCATCTTCATTTTTAGTATCGGTTCTTTCTTTCGTTTGTACCTTGGAGTTTTCCTCGCTATTATTTAATATGCTATTTATCTCATCATCCAACTCTAAACTTTGAACATTCGTTGCCCTCTCAATGTCAACACCACCTATACTATCATTCACTTGTTTTCCTGAACTAGGTTTTAAATTTTTATCTTTGGCCGAATCTTGTTCCTTCTTACTGCCTGAAAGGGAGTCATCGCCTAGAGACAAACTACTCATCATGAACAGAACAATTATATCACTATTTTTGACCCACCGTTATTGTCTATTTAGTGATATTTTAACTTATATGTAGTCTATATGACTTGTAAATGAGGTTTCTATCTTGCCCACCTTAGCGATGTTATCTAGTTTTGTAGTTAGTTTATCACTATAATGTTATGTTTTTTAAAATTACTTTTCATCTTAGTTAATGTTCCTGCATATATTTCTCATATACCAAATTGCAAATTGATTCTTATTTGCAACTATTTGATTTGTGGTTCCAGGTATATCTAAAGATGGTCTTTTTTATATTATTTTAGTTATAGTGTTTCAATTAGAAACAGGCAATAATGTTTAAAAAAATTCAAACTATTATCATACTTTTGAATGGTTTAACAACTCTATTTGCGCAATTTCAGGGACCATATAACATCAACTCGGATTATTCATACGTCCGTAAAGAGCAGAAAATAAAAGCAAAAAATGGGGAAAAACACCAAGTTGATTACTGTGAAAAGATTTTCGGTGTCAGTCTTGGGGGTTGGTTGGTATTAGAGCCTTGGATTGTTCCAAGTCTCTTTGAAGAAGCATACGAAAAAACAGGTGAAATGCCGGTAGATGAATATACTTTTACAAAACTATTGGGGCAAAGGGAAGCAGAAAAGGTTTTAGAAGAACACTGGTCAACCTTCTATACGGAGGAAGACTTCCAGGATATAGTGGATCATGGAATAAATATGGTGAGAATCCCCGTGGGCTATTGGGCATTTGGTTTGCTTGAAGATGATCCCTACATTCAGGGACAAGAATACTATTTGGATCAGGCTATAGAATGGGCGGACAAGTATAATTTGCAAGTGCAAATTGATCTTCACGGTATGCCAGGGTCTCAGAATGGGTTTGATAATTCGGGGAAACGGACCGAGCCTACATGGTTGGATGAAAAAGAAAATATGGACTTAACCTACAAAGTTGTTGAATATTTTTTCAATAAATATGGAGGCGAGGAATATGAGGATATTATCACAAGTATTGAAGTAGTAAACGAACCATTTGCATTTATACTTGACAAGGATGATTTGCGCGAGTTTTATGAATACGCCTATCAATGTGCTCGAGAGAATGGTGTAAAAGCCAATTTATTTTACCACGACGGATTCTTGCCAATTGGTTCATGGGATGGATTTATGAATGATTCTAGTACATACTCCAATATCACAATTGACCATCACCTCTACGAAATATTCTCGGAACATCAAATCGCATTGGACATAGATCAACATATTAAGAATGTTGAAGATCAAGGTGAAGCTATGGCTCTCCAGCCTCATCACAGGGTCGTTGGTGAGTTTTCGGGAGCTATTACCGATTGCACTAAGTATATAAATGGCGTAGGGTTTGGAGCAAGGTATGATGGAACATTTTCGAAAACAAAGCCGATCGGAAGTTGCAAAAACCATTCTGATTTCGACTCGTGGTCAGAAGAGTTTAAAAACAGTACTAAAGAGTTTATCAGAGCCCAATTTGAAACCTACGAAGAGAAAGGAGACGGGTGGATTTTTTGGTGCTTCAAAACCGAAGATGCTATTGAATGGGATTTCAAAAGATTGGCTAGCTTAGACATGTTGCCCGAATCCTTTTTAAATAGAAGGAAATGTCAAAATTTGAAGGCTACGCAAAGACTGAACAAGACCGAAAAGAACGAAACCACGCTTGAAAAAACAAGCGACAGTTGCAGAAATATTGATAAAACAATACTTAATTTTCATAGGTTTCAAGCAACCGATTTCATATCTGTAGTATTAGTTTCTTTGATTTTATTGATTTTTGTTGCAACTCCATAAAAAGTATATACTAATTGACAAAATTTAAAAGAATGTTTTTGAAGTAATAAAAAAAAAAAAGGAATCCAATTGGGTTCTACCCTATATAACGATATTAACTTTCATCTATTGAATTCTATTTTACCTATAGTTACATGGATTCAATTTGAATGCAAGAATGTGCAATTTGCAGGTTCGATGTGTTGCAGGTTGACCTACCATCCCATCGGAATTTTTTATCATTGATCTATTGTTACTCAGATAAAGGTTTAAGTCACTAATATATATTAGCTTGCAATATGGTATGTATAAATATACGTGATGGGTGTAGCGGAATAAAAGGAAGATATACTAACGTTTTGAATTAGGCTGTGAAGAAGAGAACTACCTTGCGGAACAAACTTGCAAAATCGAATACGAAGTCGACTTTGTCAGGCAAAATAGCAGAGTTAAAGGGAGATACCAATGAACAGGATTCAGATTACCATGAAAACCCATTTTTGAAATTACTGAAAGTTACGAAGAAAGATAAGCAATTAAATAAATCCCAAAATTTCTCGCAAAAATTCGATTCGTCTACCTTAAATACATCCAGCAATATATCCAAGTCTGCATTGAGACGCCGTAAGAGAAACGCCAGAAATGAGCTTAAGCCAAAGATGGACGAATTACTACAAAATTTGCCCGAAACTACAAACATATTTGAGCCATCTGCTTCTCACAAATCGAAGGACTCCAACCTGACAAAATTCATCAAATCCTCCAAGACTTCTGCAAACTTGCCCAATGCAGCCAAAAAAACTGGCCATTCCAAAATCATGACCCAAGAGAGCAAGAATTTCACTAATGTCTTGAAAAACCCTCAATTTCGAACATCTCCTTTCAGCGCTTTGAAAGATGCTATTGCTCAAAATTTACAAAACCAATAAGTCCCAGTTTCAATTTCATTTATTATATATGCATTACTACAGCCATCTCTATTAGACTCTAGACTCTAGACTCTAAGTCCCTTTACTATTAATTACTTTACCGTATAGTAATGGTATGATTTATATCGTGAACTCATCTTATGTAAGCTTTCGACAGAAACATTTCGCGTCAAAAATAAACAATCGTGTAAAAATAAAAACATAAACATTCTGCAAAGAAAACAAACCGGTCCCAGCAACAACCATATTTACGGATATTTTCTTAGTGTAAACACTAAACGGAAACAATTTTCATATCATTGAATTGTTGAATACATCTTAAGTCCTTTTTGGCTACATTAAACACATATATATCTGAAATAGATATATAAGAGACACTCTAGTTCTACTGCAACTTTGAAGGAACCCATATTCCATCGAGTGGTTTCAAGCGGAATACAATATTGTAATTTGTTGTGATGGATCTTGAACAACAGTTCAGGGTTGAAATGACAGTAGAAAATAGTATTCTCGAAGTATCTAACGATGGAAGTGGCTTGATGGAAAACAGTGATCAACGAAACACTGGCGATAGGAATAGTGAAGAAAACATATTCTATGAAGCCAATACGGAGAGAAGCAATGATATTAATATTCAAGGAGTGGAACCGGGAACGATACATCCAGAATTTATGTACAATGAACATGATGAATCTATATTCGATGACGAGAATGTGTTCCCCAGTCTTAATCCAGAGGCGGAAGACATAGTGAAATTTGACGAAAGTAATCCCGAACTAATAAACCATGCTACACTCAAAGCATTGATAGTCCAATTGACGTCACCAGAAGTTATTGATTACAACTTGATTTGTGATTTCTTTCTTACATACAGAATATTTGTTGATAGCGAAAAAGTGATGAATATGTTATTAATAAGATTAATATGGTCGTTACAGTATATCAATTCAAATAATGAAGCAAGCATAAACATTGGTAAATTGGTACTATTAAGAACTTTTGTTGTATTGAGACATTGGATGTTGAATTACTTTGTTGATGATTTTGACTCTAATAACCACTTATGTGATATATTCACTTACAATATGAATCAAATAACAAATGAATCGAATCTAGTTACAGATGATATGTTTTTCGAACAAAAGGTTTTGAAGGATTTAAAAATTCATTGGATATCTTTGTTGAACGAGTTTTGGAATGTTGAAATTGACCTTGATATTGTATCAGATGATATCTTGCAATATAGATTACCTATGATATTCGAAATTTCAAATGCCAAAAAATTATCCAAAAGTAATACCGAAATGTCTATTCATACGAATGCGTCATATAGAAGATCGGCCATGTTATCATTATATGATCCGAAGATTCAGCATAAATGTCTTATATTTGGTACAAATGGTAATGATGAAAATCCACAGCTTTCTGTGAACAACTTATTGCTCCACCATCAATCATCCAGGCTTTCAGTAAATACGAAGTTACAAGAACTCAAAGACAAGAAGTTGAAAGATGTAACCGTTGAAAGGAAGCCCTTAACATCAAACACAAAACATAATCATATGAACCTTCAAGATTCATCGTTAGGTTTAAAGAAAACCTCTCAAAACAAACAACAAACTCTTGAAGAAACACAAGCTGGCGTATCAACTCCAATTAAGAATAAAGAAAATATCAATTTCGATAATAAGCTTTCCCCTATTAAAATGGTAAATATAGGATTTTCGACAAATGGTAATGTAAAACTTCCTTCGTCGAAGGTAACCGCAATTTTACCCCCTACTCCAGTAAAGAAAATGGACTATGTTATCAAACAGACTAATGTGAATGATCCTTCCCACAAACCTAATCATTACATTAAGGATGGAAAGACCACAGATGATGCATTGAGTGATTTTGGAAGAAAGAAGTCATTAAAAAAGTTTGTTGATGGATGGAAAAAATCGTTTAATCATAATTCATCGAATATTAACCACGCATCACATGCAACGAATAACAGTCAGGGTAGTAAGGATATGAATAATTTAATAAAGGATGCAATGAATGTAATGTCTGAAAACGACGAAGAAGAAATTGGGGATAGAGTTGATGTCCTATGTGCTAGAGCTGTTGACGAATTGGAATACTTGATACGATACTATGTTGGTAATGATTCTCCATCAACTATAATTGAAAGGGATATTGATGGGATCGAAGAAAATAATAAGAGAAATACAATTGATGAATTTGTCGATGTTACTGTAGATGAAAATCGAGAAGACAACAAAGCAGATCATTATGATGATGAATCAATTGATATAATGGCATCTCCAGCAAAAAAGCCTAGAGTCACAAGTACATCTCATAGTAGTCCCGTGAGAGGAAAGATTGAAAATATTGACGACAACGAAGATTCATCGGCAATCGACATTAATGATTTATCAGAACTCAATCTCAAAAAAATAGACAATTTGATCAATACTGATGAGATAAATTATGAAGAACAACGACAAGATAAAGAGCATTATAAACAAAGAAGTCATACTCCAGTTGATCAAATATTTGGAAGGTCGTTTGACGCATCTAACCAATCATCTTTCCAAAGACCAGCAAGTATTAATTGGAATGATGAGGGTGATCTTGATTTAGAATATTCAGAAAATAAGACGACAGGGTCGGTGGATGATTTTGATGATGAACCTAAATCTCCAATAAATCAGGACCAATCATTTAATATTGGCTCCCAATTACCTCCCGACCCTCATTACGTTATTAACAATCAATCTAGTAAGTCATTTGAATCTTCAATTTCAACACCTAGTAACATAACACAATATAACGCTGAGGTTGCAGATCTTGGAATTGCGTTGAGCCCCCATCTGATGAAGAATAATTCAGTAAGAAGAATTAGCTTCAATGAAGCTAACTTGACGAAGAATAATAGTAACCGCAAACGCATGTCTACGTTGTCAAAAAATTCATCCGGATCAATATTTCGTAAAGATAGCCGAAATTCAGCGAAGTCCTATATTAGTTACGATTCTGCTTTTTCGATTTCTAAAGGGTCAGCTACCTATAAAAATAACGAGCTAGACAACGGTGAATTAAAGAAAAAGACAGCATATACTGATCTTCGAACTGTTGCTGGTATCAACGACCAAAGACCAGCTTTGGATTCTAGAATAAGCATAGAGTCAATGTCAATGGGTTCGTATCTATCAAGATCGTCGTCATTAAGGAAAAGTGTCAGACTCAGTACATTATGTGCTTTGACTGAATTACCATTTGGCGAACACAACGCATCGAATATATCGACTGATAGACGTATCCCAAGCATCAAGAAAGAATTAAGACAACTGGATATATCAGATAGTTCATTTTTTTCTATTGCAGCTAGATCGAAGACAAATTCCGTTATGGCATATAACGAGCAAACTCAAAATAGTCATAATTCGTCTAGTAATTCGGTAGTGATACCAGGAATCAGCAATTTCGTTTTAAAAGAACTAGCGGATATACCAGACGAATCCTTTCAACAAAACAGTCCACTTGATCATGCATTATATAAATTAGAAGGAAAGAAATCGAATTCAAGCGATCCTAAAGATGAAACGAAGAATGATCTATTATCAAAGGAGGTATCTTACGTGGAAAATGCAAACGAAAGTAATATCATTCCTGATAATACTCAAGACATTTTAAATGAAATCAATAATGCCAACACTCAAGATATAGACGACTATCCGAGCGACATTGTTGACATGACCCAGGAAAGGCCCTTAACGCCTGTAAAGAATATGATGGTTGTTAAGTCGCCACAAAAGAAAAAAGCAAGAGGTTCTTTAAAGAAAAATGAAAGCATTTTCTTCGTCAGCAACGGATCCAGTCCACGACAATTTCCATCACCTAAAACTATTTTGAATGGATACTATATTTCAACGGATATTTTATCAATCGAGAAAGTAATGGAGACGGACTCACACATTTCGTTTTTATTAAGTTACGATTCTAAATCCTTAGCGGACCACTTCACTGTGATTGAAAGAGATATTCTACAGGAAATCGACTGGAAGGAGCTTATTGAACTTAAATGGAACAAGGAACTTATCCCCGTGAATAGTTGGCTTGAGATAATTGTGAACGATAACTACTTTCACAAGAATAAAGGTGTCAATTTGGTTATCGCGAGATTCAACTTGATGGTCAATTGGATTATATCCGAAATTGTGATGTCAAAAACACAACTTGAAAGAATTAGCATCATCTCGCGGTTGATACACATAGCCCATAACTGTTACGTGTTGCAAAACTTTTCAACATTGATGCAAATAATTCTCGGATTAACTTCTGAAAAGGTCCTGAAGTTGAAAGAGACCTGGAAGAACTTGCCTCCAGGTGACATTTTAATCTTGAAGAATTTGGAAGAACTTTCTTCTCCATTGAAAAACTTCTTAAACATTCGGTTGTGCATAAACCATATAAAACCATCTAATGGTTGCATTCCGTTTGTTGGTTTGTACTTGTCCGACCTTATCTTCAATGCTGAGAGACCTGCGTTTATCAAGACTAAAATTCCCCATGCTGCGAAAAATAATGATACCACCGGTGGGGACTCTACATTGAATACACAAAATATTGCAGCAAAAATGATCAACTTCTCTCGTTTCCGTACTTCGGTTCAAATTGTGAAGTCATTATCTCAATGTATCGAATGGTCCTCCCATTATGATCTACCAATACAAAAAGACTTGTTATCCAAATGTCTCTACATTAAGTCCTTGGACGAAGAAGAGATGAACTTTTGTTTACTGAATATTGTCGATCCATGATAATATGAACGTGTATAATTAATGTGTATAATTCTACTATATCTATATATTACTTTGCAATAGACTACTAATTAATTTACTTGCTGGAAACTTCGTTGCGTGTGACACTGTTTATAGGATTAGATTATGTTGGGAATTGTCCCAGATGGAATACGAGGGTTACTTCCGAATGTCCATTTTCCGGGAGTAAGAATGTAGTGTGACTTGAGTCCCGGAAATGAGTGATTCAACATTTTGTAAATAACCCCACTGCGATACCTTAAATATATATATAAGTATCTCCTTCAGCGATTGATAACACGTTTTAAAGCAATATTAGAGTCATATTAAAAGGTCATTGAGTGGTCTAACGGCATTAGAGAAAGTATAAATCATTTGTATAAGGAATATGCCACAAGCACAAATTCGAAAGACACAACGAAACCCGAAAGTATGGGTTGCTGCATTGATAGCAGCATCCATAGTGACTATCTCATACAAAATGTATTCCAGCTACATTGGAGAGGAGACTGTCGAAGATAAGAGAAACGAAAAAGAAGGGGCCGAGGAGAAGTTGAGAATTGCTAAAAAATACACCAAGAAGTCGATTGCGTTGACGTTATCGCACTCGGTGCTTAGCTCGCAATTGCCCTTGAACGAGATTTTGCTCAATTCAGAGAATGTTACATTCATATTACCGCCAAATTTGTCGATGGATGATTTGGTTTGCAATATCGGCAATGCAGACGAGGTAGAGAAGTACAACTTACCTAAGACATTGTTGAACAATTACAAATTGCTCCATTGTAGTAATATCGATGGGTATTTCAACATATTGAAGAACTTAAAGCCGGACACTTTACTTGTATGTTCGGACGATTTAGGAATAGCGGACAGTTTACCAAGGGACTTACACAGGTTTGTAAAGGAGGTCATTAACATCGATCAGAATAAGGAAGATATTTACAAGAAATTGTCGTCGATCTTCATCAAATAGAATAGAACTCTTATTTATTAATGTGATATTGTTATTGAATAAATAAATAATCATTAGCTGTAAACCTGGCCTATGTAAATATATCTACAGAGTTTGCGGCCTATCTTACAAACGGACTATCTACCATCCTCTTGTGGATACCTTTTCGTTGGCCTTTAAGGAGTCAACGCTGACTCCAAACATCAATTCGCCTAAGTCAGTGGAATATTCCATGATTTTCTTTGGATCGTTATAGTGGGTGACAGCATTCACGATGGCCTTGGCTAAAAGTTCTGGGTTCTTCGACTTGAAGATACCAGATCCGACAAATACACCGTCACATCCCAATTGCATACATAAAGCAGCATCAGATGGAGTAGCGACACCACCAGCAGCGAAATTGACAACTGGGAATTTTCCTTTGTTAGCGATCAATTCTTTCAAAGTTTCAAGAGGAACTCTTAACTCCTTCGCGTAGGCTTCGACCTCTGAATCAGACTTCAATGATAAAGCATGGTCGATTTGCTGTTTGATCAAGTTAATGTGGCTCACAGCTTCTGAGATATCTCCTGTACCAGCTTCTCCTTTAGTTCTCAACATGGCTGCACCTTCACTGACTCTCCTCAAGGCTTCGCCCAAGTTTCTTGCACCACACACAAACGGAACATTGAATTTATTCTTTTGAATATGGTACAATTTGTCTGCTGGAGTCAACACTTCGGACTCATCAATATAATCAATTTCCAAAGCTTCCAAAACTTGTGCTTCAACAAAATGCCCAATTCTGCATTTTGCCATAACAGGAATTGAGACTGCGGCCATGATTTCCTTGATCATTTTTGGATCTGACATACGACACACTTGTCCCGATGCTCTCATGTCTGCTGGAATTCTTTCCAAGGCCATAACTGCACATGCACCGGCTTTTTCAGCAATTTTGGCTTGTTCTGGGGTAACAACATCCATGATAACACCACCCTTTAACATTTGTGCTAATCCAGCTTTAACTTTGAAATCTTGTGCCATTTTGTTTTTTGTAATTCTATAATTATTAATTGAATTGTAGAAACAAAATTTTGCAAATAAATTTGACGAAATATAGACTATTATTTATGGCCTTCTTGTTGTGACTCAATCGAGTATTGTATGAATGAATCACAGGGATCAAGCAAACAGATTTTCGGGAAGTCCACGGTATAATTACGGTTACGTTAACGAGGGCAGCGTAAATGAAAATGGCTGTAATTTTACTGCATATACAATAACGGTTCTTTGTAATTCGAGCAGATTGCGAGAATTCACCGAGGATATCAGAGTCAATCTCCAACGTTTTTTGACTCCAAGTCAAGCCTTCTAAGAGTTTATACAGTAACTGGGACCACTGGTATTTTTGCCAAAGAGGCATTTTGTTATAAAATTTCTCGCTTGGGGTAATGATAACCGATAGATATAGGCATCATTAGAATACCGTAAGAATACCGATTTAAAATCGCTCAAGGCTATAAAGCACCAAACAAAGTGATTTAGATAAGACTGAACTTTCATACTTAATAACTTCCCGGTCAGGACGGAAAGACAAACCTAAATAAAGATACCAAATGACTATTACGAGAAACGTAACGGTTGGAGTCTTGGCGTTACAGGGAGCATTTATCGAGCATATCAAACACTTTGAAGGTGCCACCAAGAGTGGATATTCTGATTACGAGTTTAGCTTTATTGAGATTAGAACAGAGGAGCAGTTAGAGAAGTGCCATGGACTTGTTATTCCAGGAGGAGAGAGCACAGCTATTTCATTGATTGCACAAAGAACAAACTTGCTTGGGCCGTTGATGCGTTATGTTAAATCAGAAAAGCCAATTTGGGGCACTTGTGCTGGATTGATTTTTTTGTCAACTCAAGTTGAAAATGGGAAACCGGGCCAACAATTGTTAGGAGGCATGAATATCCAGGTTAAGAGGAATGCATTTGGAAGACAGTTACAGTCATTTCAATCTGATTTGGACTTTTCATCTTTCATCCCTCTGGTATATGATTTTCCTACCATATTTATTAGAGCTCCTGTAATTACTAGTGTATTATCTGATATTAATGGGCCTGAAGATGTGAATGATTTCATCATTCACACCAAGAATGACTATGAGAATAAAGCTCCAGTACAGATTTTGCACCAATTAGACAATGGTTTGATAGTCGCCGTGAGACAAGGTAGTAAACTCGGAACTTCCTTTCACCCTGAGTTATCGGATGATTATAGATTCCACAAGTGGTTCATAGACGAGTTTATAGTAAAGGCTTTATAATTATGTATTTTTAAATACCAGTAATATATCAAATTGTGCGTATGGATTTCGTTGCAATGCGAAAATTAAGAATGATGAACTTATCATAACGACAAATATTAGCATACTATCACACACATTTTTTGAGTGAGTAAGATGCATGATGCTAGAATATTCAATTCTCCTTCGAATACTACAATGAATGAGAATGATGAAACAGATAGACCTAATGTTAAATCTTTGAGGACAAATCAAAGACGAGTTATAGGACCGTCAAAGTCTTCGTCACATATGGGATCACATATTGGTACTACGTTAGTCATCGGCAAGAATTCACATTCAACATCTCATGGCATACGAAGTAATATACCAGAAAATACGATAATAATTGGTAGACGTAATTTCAGTGATGGTCAAATTGAGTATGCAAAACCTTCTAGTCATACCCATAGACTCAAAAAAGATAGTACGTCAAATGATCCCAATATCGATTCAATTGTGGATAGTACTAAAAAGCTTCCAGAACAGATTCAATTGACTGTTTGGTTTCATGAACCAAGAACGTCTACAGAAGACGTCATAATTGATGCAAGTGTGATACCAGGATTAAAAGAAGGTGATATTTGTGAATTGGTTCCTTTAAGTACATTTAAACCCCATAAAAAACCCAAGCGATTAATATTCATCATCAAAAATCAAACGCTATTATCCAAAAGCTCAAATTTAAATACTGTCAATAACAACACATCAATTAATGCAGGCGTACCAGCTTCGGCCATACCAGCTAACAACAACAATGCAGCGAAGCCAAAGACAAACTTTCAAATTTCGTTGATTTCCAATCCTTTACAGAATTTAATGGATTTACCGCCACGAAGTTTGGTTCAATTGAAAACTATATTAGATGTTGAAGCCATTGAAGCAGATACAATCGAAATTTTTATAAAAGATGTAAACATCTCAAGAGATTTAATGTGGGCATTTTCTTCATCATTAGTAGGAACATGTGTCTATACAGAAAAAAGGCTAAGTTTTCTTAGTAATAGGACAGGGGTGGTAAAAAAAGTTTATAAAGATGGGAGGGAGATGTTCTCAGCGTTGATTTGTGAAAAGACAAAGGTAGTATTTCGTTCTAAGAGTGCCAAATTGGTATTTTTGGTTCAACTTTCTCGAGAGATGTGGCACTTTGAGGAAACAGGTGAAATCATGTTTCATAAATTAGTAAACACATTATTTCCTAAGATTTTTAAAAAGTGGAGAGACAAAAATACACATCACTCTATAACTATTGTCCTATTTACAAGTGTTGATTTAACGAATATTCCATGGACATCATTAGGTCAAGGGGAAAGGCCAAATAATAGGCGTGATTATTTTAGAGTTGTTGTTGACCAAGTGAGTATCTTTCATTGGGATAGAATTATGGCTAATTTAAGATTAGAATTTGCCAATTTTAAAAGAGATATTATGCTAAATTGCCAACCTGAAAATAATGGAAAATTTACAATGGCAGGTCAATCACTACCATCAGTTAAAGGGAATGTTTTAGAAGCTATTAATGTTGGGATTCATTTAGTAAATGATAGGTTTAAGAATACTGACTTGAAGCATTCTTTAAATCATTTCATATTAGTCACTCCAGGAACAGGATTATTTGATGTAGACTATAGTTTGATGCACGAAACTAGTAAAAAAATGTTAAGCATAGATTGTGCATTAGATATTGTCTGTTTGAGCCAACCACCTTTGCACATAGTACCTCTATTTCGTTACAGAGATCCAACGAAAGAAGGTCAAATATCACACTGTGTTCCACATTGGTGTGACATATCGTTTTACAAAGATAGTACAGCTAATTCTACACAATGGATACCGCATTGTAAAATTTATGAATTACAGATGATGGGTGTTATGGAAAATGAAATTAATGATGTTAAAATTGAGAGATATAGGGTACCCAATAATGCAAAATCAATGATAGAGGCTATGGATAAGTATGATTCTGATGTTTTCAAACCTGTTAGTAAAGTTTCGAATTCAAATACAAATAGAGAATCAGAATATTCACTGGAACAATCAACCATAAATAGTAAAGTAGTGACACCCAAAGAAAGTGCCAATGCCTTATCTTTGATATGGAATGCTAGAACTTCTCTATTACCAAATTCATCGACTGCCAAAATTGACGTTTCTACAACTAATTCTTCCGTTCTTGGTACAGTTGCAAATAGCGGAAAAGATGTTTCAGCGCTTTCATCTTTGTACACCTTGAATAAGACATCTGCTGATAAGCCACTGACATATGCTTCTTCAATTAAAGCTGATTCATATAAGGGCTCAAAAGAAAATTTAAAAGCAAAGGATAAAAAAGAATTCAGCGAGAGGACAAGAACAAAGCTTCGGCCAAGGCTACAAAAGGCTGAAGAATTTTATAAAAGTGACGACGGACTCAGCAATGCTTCAAAACTGCGAGAGTTATTGGATTCCAAATCCAGAAATAAACAAAGTTCAGCTCACACGGAGGAAGAACTGGAAATCTTAACAAACATGTTGTGGACTGAAATTCGGAATCCTTCTAAAGAACTGCATTCTGATATGTTGTCATTTCTTCGTTTAAGTAGATGGAATGACGTATTTCCATCAAACATCAAAAGGAGATTAGTAAAATGGAGATCATTCGAATCTCCAGCTGCTTTGCCAGTTACCACTTCGATTTTTCCATCTACTAAACAATTAGAAACAGAATATTCTTTTCAAATTTATAGCGTATTTTTAAATTCAGAAAATGATCTAGAGATCGAAAGTACTCATGATCTAATGAGGGAAATGATTCAATTACGTTTATTACTAGGGTTCCAAATTTGCTATAGTGATCAAGTTAAAAAGTTCGAATCGAGTAGAAAACCGGGTGGAAATGCTGAAAGCTTAATTAAATACTTTCCAAAAGGTAGTTGTTATGGTTCAAGAATTTATATGTCCTTGGATGACGAAATACATAGAATATCTTGTGATTACAATGGAAATCTATATGTTCAAATGTATAGAAAAATCGAGGAATTGAAGCATTCAAGATTATTAGGGTTACAAGATTATCAGCAGAAAAGTTATGTTCCGTTAATTAGAACACGTTATGTTGACGAATATACTCCAGCTAAATTTGATTTCATTAATGCTAAGCCGCTCAAGTACAATTGGAATCAATTTGACCAGTTAATAGCGGGTTACGATGATGCAATTCCTCAAGAGAAAAGACTGTTCCACAAGATGAAATTTGTTGTCCTACCAGCTAGTATTCCTAAGAATGCATATTTTATATCCAATGAGAATTTGACTGATGAAGAAATACGGGTTGAGGGTTTACGTAAATTGATTGCAATAATCGAACGAGGAAAATTTGTTAAATCAGATGATAATGAATCCAAAAGAAAGGAAGAAATCTTGCCTGAAATAAGTTTTTATACGGGTAATTTATATGAATTCTTGAGTGATCAAGCTGAAACCTATGATACAACGGGTAATGAACCAAGTAATTCTTTAATGTTAGGAGAAAACATGAGATTTACAAGGGGAATAAAATTGAGTCAACTAGCGCAGGAGTTACAAAGCCCTACTGGTGTGAGATTAGTAGATAGAACGTGGCATTTCAAGAAACATCTTCATTGCTTTTTAGGTAACGAGCTTGTCTCATGGTTTATTGAGTGCTTTGAAGATATAGACAATAGGAATGATGCTACAAGTTATGGCCAGTCATTAATGGACAGAGGAATGATCAAGCATGTTGAAAGTAGACACGGATTCTTGGATGGGTATTATTTCTACACATTTGAAGACGAATATATTGACAAGAATTACAAACCTGAGAGATCGAACAGTGGATGGTTTAATAGAAAGAAACATGCAAACGAAAAAGATTCAACGGTCACATCACCTGCGTATACAAGAAATAATTCAGATAGTGAATCAGTGAAGTCACCGGTATTCCCAGTTCAAGATAATCTTGACTTAAGAAAAATCACATCGAATTCAATAGGTCAACATATGTATGAGTCTGAAACATCATCAATGGCTGGGTCTTCAACCAAAGCGAAGCAAAAGAAGAAGTTCATATTGAGTAGATCAGTTAAGTTTAATGCTGATCCTTTAAAAAAGTCGTTTAGACCAGAAATTGTTACTGTGCATTATGATAGAGTTCATAATCCAGAACATTGCTACCATATTAGACTTCAGTGGCTCAATACTACGAACAAGTTCATAGACGATGCCATCTCAAATTGGTCAAGACTATGCGAAAGGCACGGATTAAAATTAGTTGAAACTCCTTGGCTTGAGTTATGCACCATCCCGGAAGTAAATCCATTCCACTCATTTGTTGATTTGAAATTGGTTATCAATCCATGGACTGATCCAGAATTCCTGGATCTTAATATTCTAAAGGATAATAAATTCTATTATCACTTATACTTGATGAAAAAGTCAGATTTCTTACTTGACAACCGGTCAACAGTTTTCTTTCTGAAAGACCACATTGAAATTTCCTATAGTTGGGGTAAACCAATTTTCCAGTATGCTCAGTATATTCACAAGACAGGTGCTTATATAGTTGAATTGCGAGATAATGGAGATTTATTTTTAGCCCCCAACAACATACACATCACAAGACTTAACACTTCCCTTTCATCTATTCCAGAACAAGATAACCTAAAGTCTTATCAAATAGATTCGCAAAAGGTAATGTTGAAATTTAGATCGGCTTGTACAAATGAAAAAATACTTCGTGGTATCTTTAAAGAGGCTAAAGAAAATTGGAGGGAAAAATGCCTGGAAAATGTATTACCTGCAATTAATTAACATCTTACTATATAATGTAGATAGTTAAAATATATATTTTGATCGTTATATTAATGATATACTTAAATAGCAATTCTTTCTGCGATCTTGATAGCATCGGCCAAAACACCGTGAGCAGTAACATCTGCGCCAGCACCAGCACCTTGGATAATTAATGGATTAGGATATCTTTCAGTTTTAATCGATACAACGTTGTCACTACCTTTCAAGGAAGCAAATGGATGGTCAAAACCATATTTACCGATTTCTACAGAAACCTTGTTAGCTTTGAAATCGACTTGACCAACAAATCTCAAAACTTTATTTTCAGCTAATGCTTCCTCTTTTACCTTTTGGATATCAGCATCGAAATCTGGTAATTTTGATAAAAACTCATCCGCACTTTCAACACTTTCTAACTCCTTTGGAATAAGAGATTCGACAGGAAATGAAGTTGGAGACTCAACATCAAAACCCGATATTCTGGCTAAAATAGTTACTTTTCTAGCAACATCTAAACCATTCAAATCATCTCTTGGATCAGGCTCGGTATATCCCAAATCCTTGGCAACTTTAACTACATCTGAAAACTTTACTTTAGTAGAAGGGTCAGTGGTGGAAAATTCGTTAAAAATATATGACAAAGTACCAGAAAAGATACCTTCAATTTTTTCAACTTTATCGCCAGTAGTAATCAAGTCTCTCAATGGGCCGATAATCGGTAATCCAGCACCAACGGTAGCTTCATGATAAACTAAACCACCAGAAGGAGCTTCAGAGCTCTTGAAGATTTCATTCCAGACAGATAAATCAGACGAAAATGCTTTCTTATTTGGGGTAGCGATCGAAATACCTTCCTTAACAAACGTAGGATAATAATCAGCTATAGCACCATTAGAAGTGTTATCAATCAAGATTGTAGGTTTTGATGCACCTTTCAAAAACTTTGTCAATTCATCCAATGATAAAACAGCTTGGGCAGAGGCACTCTTGTAAGAAGCCAAGTCGACTGGTTTGTAATCAGAAGAGAATAATGCTTCTTTAGATGATCTAGCGAAGTAGACAACATTGAAGTTGATAGAAGTTTTTAAGTTTTTTAATTGGTTAACAAATGCTGATCCAACAACACCCGAACCAATAATAGCAACATTGACAGACTTGACCATTTTATTTTTGAATTAGTTATCACAATTGGATTTTGTTCGTTCCAAGAGCCACTTAAAGGGTTTTTTCAAGTCTACGAAACTTGTTGATAATAACACGTGATATCAAATGATTCGCTCTATATACTGTTTATATCTAATTCTATCAATAGTCAGGATTGGGAAGCTTGATTGGCTTCTATATCGTTCCCATAGAAGGGAGACGGGTTACAAGCTTTTATATATGGCGACTTCTTTTTGTTATATTTTGTCTATTCATGTACTGGAATGTTGCAACCATATTCATTGCGCATTACCTGCGGCTGTGGCCCGAATACTTTCCATATATCTCTCTTGTAATACATTGATATGGCTTCATTCAACCCTAATAAGTGATGCAATTAATAAGTTGAAGACAAAATACAATTAGCAAAACCCACATGCTTGTATGGTGAGTAGTCGAAGCTATACCTTTTTTGTGGTCACCTTCGCTATCTGTATCGGTTCCGTTAACTATGTATTTTCTGTCATCTAGAGGCTGAGGCATAAGATCAAAATCAACCAATTTCTTAAAGTCCCACTCTATTGATGTCTCAGTTTTGAAACACCAAAATATCCAACCATTCATTTTAGAACTATATTGGTCGAGTTGCATTTCAATGAACTTTCTATAATTCTTTTTCTTCTGTTTAGACCATTTATCCCACATATTAATATCATCACATGTTCCGATCTTGTCATTGTTATATGGCGACGTACCTTCGAACCTTGTTCCTATACCTACACCATTCAACCAAGGCGTGCAATCAGTCAAAGCAGCCAGCCATTCACCAACAACAGCAGGGTGATGTGTATTTTCATCCTTTATAGATGAGCTAAGAGATTTGATACTCAGAAGGTGTTCTTCTATAGTCAGATTTAAAGCCCCCGGTGAAAAGACTTCGTAATGATGATGGTCTATAAGAATGTTGTAGTTATCAACGGTAGAATTAGTTCTATTTCCCAGATAAGATAGAAATTTATTCCAGTATCCCATCAGTTGAAAAGCATCATGGAATACAATTGTATTATTAATTGCTTGTATTTTTCTTGCATCTTCATAGCTATCTTCATAAAACTTCTTTACTTTTTTCATAGACAATTTCGGCCCAAGGGGTTCATTAACGACCTCAATGCCCAAAATTGTATCCTTGTATTGTGTTGACATGTTATATCCCCCATACTTTGAATAAATTTTGTTTAATACACGGTGACTTAAATCAACATTCTCAGTTCGATTAAACCATCCAGGGTAATTAAGATTTCTGAGGCCCGAGTTGTCAAAACCATTCTGGGAACCAGGCAAACCATGAAGATCAACCCATACTTTCAAATCATATTTAGATGCCCATTCTATGGCCTTATCTAAATACTTCTGTGCCCCGGGAACGTACGTATCATTTTCAAGCTTTTCAAATGCCCAATATCCAATTGGTATACGAACCATATTCAAACCAAATTCTTTCATCTGGGCAAAATCTGACTCATTGTAAAAGGTATCCCAGTGCTTGGTTAATCTACTTTTTGCTTCTTTATAACCGAGCTTTTTGCAATAAGCATGTTCGTCAATTGGGATATCAGACTCCTTACCACTAGTTTTATTAAATTCTAAGAAAAGCGAAGGAGTTATATAAGGTTCGAGAATCAACCAACCCCCTAATGCTACCCCTTTGTAATGAAAGTTTCTGGAATTATACTGAGATTGGATTAATGAGGAATTATTTGTAGACGAAGTGGCATTCGATCCAGATGTCAATTGTGCAAAGCAAAGAGTCAACACCAACAAATAGATAAATTTTATCACCCACATTCCAAAAGCGAAGAATGAAGAAACCTTGATTCGATGGTTTATTGAAATTAGCGATGCAACTATGGTATCTAGGAAAAGGAAAGATTCTCTCAGAAACGAAGTAGGCACTGCCAAAGGTCGCGGCAGTAGGCTCCCATATTTACTGAATATATATACACACAACAACACGTTCATACATTACAAGAACATTTTACTATTGGTACGTCTGGTAAAACCCATATTCGATCGAGCCATCTGAAATGTTCGTGCTTTCGTTAATACGAGCACACCTCTAATACTTGATCATATTTATTTATTCTGGAAAGATTAAGACAAATGTAAAGAAGAATATATGTACAATGTGCTTTCAAGAAGCACTACCACAAACAATCATTAAATAAGTACAGCCAAAAGGCGTGAGTAAGTTACATAGTTTTCATTAAAATAGGAATATCTTCGGCCAATAGGGAAATCTACGGCTTCTTGGTTAGTCCAAGTCTTCTTCAGATGGCTTGATTTCTGGTTCGCCAGCACCAGCACCAGCTGCGGCTCCAGCACCCAAAATGTTGGTCACTGCTGCTGGAGGTTGAACAGCAATCATCATGACAACTATCTCGTACACTTCTTCTGGAACAGATCTTTGGTAGATACCCAAAATATCAGTTGGGTTAGGGTACACTGCAAGTGCCTTGTAGAAACAGAGGGCTGCCTCGATCTTCTTATCTGCCACTGTAGCCAATTGTTCTCCTAAAGCAACTTGTTGCATGAAGAAGTTCTCTTTCTCTGATAAATCGGTTGGCACTGGGTTCGCTTCCAAATCTTCAGTCAAAGCCTTTTTGATAGCATCCAACTTGGATTTCTTGGTGTCTTCGTTTTCCTTAGCAGCAAGCTTCTGTTGCTTGACCGACTTCTTCTTCAAGCTCTTTCTGAATTCTGGAGAGCTTCTACGCTTGTAATCGAAGTAAACCGCGTATGCAACCAATGCAGTACCTGCTACTGCTGTGAATGTTAAAGCCTTACTCATTGTTATTATATCTATCTATCTATTACTCGTGAAGTAAATACAAAAGAATTACGCCCGTCTTTACTCATACACTAGGCGTACGGACTGAAAATTTTTATATGCGAGAAACTACACAAAAATAATTATGTCCCAATTTAAGGTCACGTGACACATCCAGAAGAGAGACCATTTTTTTATGTTAATTTGATTGGGTCAATATAATATCAGCGTCTAAACGTCATCTAGTGTCCATTAGTTGAATAGCGTAAATATAGTACATTATGTCAGAACAAGGTGACTCTGAACAAAGGATAGTGCCAGACTCCAGATTCAAATGGCCAAGACCATTTGGTAACTTGACAAATGCCAGTGCTTACCCGCCATGGAAGCCTGTCGACACCAAGAAGGAAACAAGCCAAGTTTTTAGATTTACTTTCTACACAACCGTGGGTGCTTATGCGTGGTTATACTTGTGGAAGAGAACCACGTTCAAGATTGGGTTGCCAATGACGGTTGTTACGTTTGCTACAGTTGCTACTGCGTCGAAGGGTATGATCACCAACTTGAGAGAAAAGAACGACGGATGGAATACGTTCTGGGGAATTGGTCTTGGTAACTTGGTTTGTTTGACTGCCGGTTTCAAGAACATGCCAGCCAAGCATAAGGTATTGACTGGTGTTTCGGGTGCTGCCATTGCCGCGTTGCTCGACCACTGGTCTTGGGCACAATCTGCTAGCTTTGCAGGCAGAGACACCAAGCACGTCATGGCTAATACCGATGAAGAATTACCTAAACAGCAATTCTGGGATGTGTGGAGAAGAAGACCATTGTCACAAACGGTAGAAGAAATGGGTGCAGGTCGTGGTATTTTTAAGGCGTAAACTTCCCATCATTTCTTAGCCTATAACCGACCCGTTAAAGCATAATCTGTCACATTATCATATGGTGTAAGTTATATTTATAATTATACATTACATTTATCTATCCGTACTTTTTTCGTTCTCTAAATCAGTATATTAATACACACTCTCGAAGAATAAAGGCTATGTACAGTGAATAAACAAACAATTAATAAGGTCTAGTCAACAAAAATTATATTTTCTTGTATGGATAATCTAATGTTTTGTTCTTTTTTAATTTCCATAATTTCTTCTTCTTCTTCGTAGTGACATGTTCAGCAAATATTTCGTCACAGAAGTCCTTTTTCCATTTTCTAATAAAGCCAGGATCCCACAATTCACTAGCAATACCTAAATCTTTACAGCATCTCATCAATGCATTACTCTTGCAACCTTCTAACGCAGTAGTTATTTTTTCGTCCCCACCAAAATAATCTTGTTCACCTCTTGCAACGCTTACGAGTCTTCCGTGACAAATTAAAGCATATTCACGAGAAATTTGTTTTGGGGTAATTAGCGATTCAGTACGTGGCGCCAATCCCCACCCTCCTGGTCCAAATGCCCTATTCAAGATTCTACGGTATTTGATTTCGGGGAGGTATAAAAGCCCATCTGGCTTTATTTCAATGTCATCATTCTCTATCGGAGCTAAAAGTATGTCACTTACCTCCTTTGGGAACGGTGCAGTACCTAGGCCATGAAAAGAATCAGACCAGTTGATAGGTGAACCTGCCTCCAGTGAACTAGTGATGGCTGGCGAATCACTAAACGACTTAATCGTATTACTTGACGATGATTGCTCCGAATCATTATTAATAGGTTTGGAAGTAGATGCTGAAATAGAATTGCCTGTCGTACTGTTCTTTGCTGCTGGGCTTGAATAGTAGGATTTTTGAAAGGCTGAGTTATATGGCATCTTCTTAATAGTGCCCTTGGCATAATTGCTGCTAAATCTAGCACTCAAGAAAGATGACTTCATCAATCTACTTGAAGTAGATAAATACTTACCATGTATCATCCTAAATATAAAGCAATTATTACCCGGTATATGTCTATAAAGACTATATTTTAACTACTTACAAGTCAAATACAAATTTTGCATATACACGAAAATGGGTAAATGTCTTACTATTATATTATACATAAATTATTATAAACTTGATGCTTGTAATTAAGAGAAAATGGTATTTGGTTTAGCAAATAATAAGAATAATGCAATCAAAAAGAATGTGTGAAAAGTCTAACACTAAAAAGCGTTAAAAAAGAGGATATGTGATGCTTTTAATCATTATGCTTGACACGTTCAATGTATTCGTAATCAAATAACGACTTTCTTAATGGTTTGTCCATATGGAACTTAGACGTCAATTGATGGTATTCGGTCTTATCTTTTAAATCTAAAATGGAATGCTGTAATGATGGATTTAACAAAAACTTTTTCTCAATTTCATGATATGCTGTGTACTTTTGAGTCAAGTAATATTCTATTAAAATATCATTACTTGATTCAAGCAATCTTACCTTGTGATCTATGGTCATTTTCTTGATTAATTCTGCCAACTTATCTGGATTGATTTTGTCACCATCTTTATAAGCAGATTCTTCGAATAAGAAAGTTAATTGTTCTTCCTTCAACCATAATCTAACTTGAGGGACATAATAATAACCGTCGAAGAAATAAGATGTTGTACCTTTATCATATTCATAATTCAACATTACCATTATATCATTTGGTACATATGCTGGAACACCACTGATCATGGAGTACCTTAAGGGATTAATTTTTTCGAAGTTTAACCAATGCTTACGACGGTCCATATATAATTGAACTTCTTCACCCTTGGACTGTCTATTTCTGATATAAGTATCATACTCCGCTGGTGCCTTTTCATTGTTTTTACCAAGACCAGTGATATCGATATAAGTACCACTATCAATGTCAATAAATCTGGCATCGATAACATTATCTTTAGCACCTCTATCTCTATGATGCAAGAATGTAGCACAGTCAATAAGGTATTTTCCATATCCTTCCGAAATATCTTCAACCACTAAAGTCATGTTATAATTTTGAGACAATCTATTTAATTCAGCAGATGGCATCTGAATATCAATATCAATATCAAAAGGAAACATTAAACCGTCCCAATACCAAGATAATAATGGGCCATGAGCTATCCATGAAATAATACCTTTTTCTTCAGCAAATCTAAACCAGTTCCTCAATAATCTATCCAAGATGATTTGTTCTCTAATCTCTAATTGCTTCATGGTATATCCCTCCTTTAAATAACGTAAAGCACCATTGAAAAATCTCCATTCATAATGCCATCCTGCATCTCTATTATTTTTGTCTTTCTTCAACGTAGCTAATTTATAGTAAGTTGGTTCATCTTGAGGAGAAATAGAATTAGAATACTTTAAGCCCTTATAATGATTCATTTCATGTCTGTTCAAGATGTTAGTTTCAATTTGATGTGCATCATAACGCAATTCATTTGTCATTAAATCATCTAAAATGTTCAATCTAGTTTCATATTCTTCGATTTGAGCATCAACTTGTTCTTGATTATAGTTGAATGCTTCAGTGTCTAAATATATTTCACGGCTAGCATTCTTATCCTTTTGTCTAGTAATGGAAAACATTCTATACATATCGTCGTTCAAATCAAGAGGTCTAGGTTTTATGGCACTTTGCAAATCCTTAAACTCATCAATTGGATTAACAGTTATGGTTTGGTCTTCCATATCATCAATATGGTTGGCATTGATGTGTTTTCTTTCTAAAAAATGCTCAAACATATCTGTGTGGACTAATCTCTTCTTACCAGAAACTTGAGCCTCATATGTACCATTCTTAGTCAAGAAGATAATGGATAATGGATTTTCTTGGTAAGCTAATAAATGAGCCTTACCCTGCATCATTACTTGCTTTGGGGGAGCTTTATTCATAGGAGACGACTTCACTGCAAATCCAGGTAAAAATGACTTCGATGGCAAGCCAATTTCCCGTAATTCCTCATTGGTCAAATCTCTGGTATTTTTACAAAATTCTGGGTGCTTAGTAGGCTTGTTAATATCGCTTTGTAACCAACCACAGTCGAGTCTTTCGCTTTCTTCCTTTTCCAATTCTTCATTAAGCATAGTCAAGTCGACCCAATCTGACCAAGCAAATGGGACGGTAACCAAATGGTCCTTCGACTTTTCATTCTTTGGGTTCTTGGTCTGTAACTGGCCTTTTATTTCGTTTAAATACACCGAAAGGGTGAATCTTGGGTCGTAGAATAATGTTGGCTTATTAGCCCAGTTCAGCTCACCTTCATCTGGAGTCAAAAAATCCTTCATTTTGATCTTCAAATTAGGTTCTGAAATTTCGGTGTTGGCCAACCAATATTTCTCCTTATCGTTCTTCACTTGCTCTAAAAGATGAGAAATCTTTTGGTTGGCTTCCATTTCACTATAAACCTTGTCATCTGGAACCTTTACCTCATCGTCTGTGTGGTAATTTATGGATGCAACATGTTGGATAGCCTGTTCATGCAATTTGGCTTCCTGTCTTGAATAATACTTCGTAAAAAATACTACGTTTATAAATAAAACAATCAAAAAGGTGAACTTAACAAACTTAGTGTTGATCATCCTATCTAATTTTTATCCGTCAACGATCAATTCTAGCTCGTGCCACTATCAATACTATCACTTAAACTTTAGTTATTGAATCCAAAATATGTCTAATCCTGATTTCGATCGTACGAGTGTAAAGATGACTTTTCTATATGGTCGTGTGGTCGTTGAGAAAAAAAAAGAAATGCATATTCCATCTTTTTTTAGTTCCGGGCGCGCTGGTCGAAATAACCGGTCAAAATATTTTTAACGTATAATTATGCATAGAAACAATACTGGAGCACATGATATAGTCGGCCTCCATACCACAACTTATATACCTTTTGCTAAGTCTGTTCGAAAAGTATATTCTATATAGACAGCCTGCCCCAAGAAATCGTGCTGAAGCCAAGACTGTTGAGCTTGTGTGGTTTGGTTTTTCTCTGGGTACTTTGCAGATCTTATTAAATGCCCTTAGTATTATCCCGAGTGACCTCCACTGCTGTAAAACAATGGGGACTGCAAATTTGGAGGGCTTAGTGCCAAAATCGGAAGGTGTGTGGATGCATAGAGATAACAGCTACAACTCTCAGGTCTATCGCATCAGAAGTGTGGAGCTTGTAGAAACAGTATGACGATTTGAAACGATGTGAGACAACACAGTCAGACGAGGATAAACAAGCATAAGATTAAGTGGTCTAAAGGTAGGATATAGTTTGGACGTAGATTGAATTCAAATTATTTTACGTGTCTGAAGGATTAAGTGCGAGTGAATAGATCTTTAAGATGCATCAAGCGGCGAGGGTGGGCCTTAAAAAAAAAAAAAAAAAAAAAAAAAAAAAAAAAAGAGTTCACATTACCACATAAAACTCTCATATATAATTTTTTATTAAGGACGCGTATCACATAAGTAAACGACGCCTTACAATGTATACAGATTCTAGTGTCAGATCAATTATGTATTAATGAAATATACCGTATATAGGTGGTGCTAATAATTAGTTTAAAAGTAATAAAATGATATTAAATGAAGAACGTAAGATGCGATGTAGCAAATAATCTGTCGATAGAAAAGACCTAATCAGTAGATGACTTTGCATGCTTTGGTTTATCAATCTTTTCATAATTGAATAGAGGACGTCTAAATGGCTTCTGAAATTTGAATCTGGATGTTAGCTTGTGATACTCAACATTATCACTTATTTCGGATTGCTGTTTTTGGCCACCTATGTTCTCAACCTTAGTATTTTCACCATCTGGCATATTAAACATATAGGTTAATTCTTGTTTATGCAAATCAGTAACATCTTTGGTTAAGTAGTATTCTAATAAAATATCTTCGTTATGCTCCAACAAAGATAATATTTGATCCTCATTCATTTCTTTTACCAATTTGGTAAATTCCTCACGATTAGTAACCTCATCTTTGTCGTTGAAGAGATGTGGATGTGACTTGTCAAATAAAAACTTAAGCTTTTGTTGATGAATCCACAAATTAAGAGGATCGATGAAATAAAAGCCTTCGAAATCATAAACCGACATACCTTTAGTGTATTCATCCTTCAAAATATCTTCAACTTTATTTGGTATGTAGCAAGGAACCCCACCGATCATGGTGTATCTTAATGGTGAAATTTCGTCATAAGAATAGAAATGCAAGTTACGGCAGTTGTAAACAGGTTTTGGCTGATTGAATATAGCCGCTTGGTTTACAATATCTTTATATTTGTCTGGAGCCTCTTCCTTACTAATTCCTAAACCAGTAATATCAATATAAGAACCAGTATCAATATCAATAAATCTAGCATCAATATGGTTTTCTTTGTAAGATTTACCTCTGTGGTGAATAAACGTTGAGCAGTCAATGAAATATTTACCAAATCCTTCACTGATATCTTCAACAACTAAGGTTTGGTTGTATAACTTTGAAAACCTCGTTAGTTCTTCCGCTGGCATTTGAATATCAATATCTTCATCAAATGGAAATAACAAACCATCCCAATACCATGATAATAATGGGCCATGAGCAATCCAAGAAATAATACCCTTTTCGTTAGCGAACTTGAACCAATTTCTTAAAATACGATCAAGTAAAACCTTTTCTCTAATCAATAATTCTTCTTCATTCCAACCTTTTTTCAAATAACGCAATGCCCCATTAAAAAATCTCCATTCATAATGCCACCCGGCATCATGGTCATTCTCTTCTGTTTGAAAATTCAATCTGGCCATTCTAAAGTATGTTGGTTCCTTTGCTAATTCAAACTTATTTGCATATTTCAACCCTTCATAATAGATTCTCTCGTTTCTGGTTAATTTTAATTTGTTAATTGTATGATGATCAAATATAAGTTCATTGGTTGTTAAGTCATGCAAAGTTTTCATTCTTGTTTCATATTCTTCAAGTTGCGTATCTATTTTATCTTGTTGATAGTCAAATGCCTTTTGCGGTAAGTAGACTTCTTTAGAATTTTCAGGGTTTTTATCCTTTATCTTGGCAACCATACCAAATTCATCATCCTCTGGGTCCAACGGATTTGGCTTTACGCTGGCCAATAAATCATTAAATTCTTTAACTGGGTTTAAAATGAGCTTAGGGCTTTTGTTTTTGGTACTAGTTAAGAAGTCTTCAAAAAGGTTACTATCAACAATTCTCTGCTTACCTTCTACTTGTGCTTCAAACACACCATCACTAGTTAAAAATATAATGGCTAATGGATTAGCGGCATAAGTCAATAAATGTGATTTACCTTCGAGCATTCTAACTTCATTTGAAGCTTTATTCGTTGGTGATTTTTTAACAGCAAAACCAGGTACAAACTTTGTTGAGGGTAAATTCATTTCCTTCAAGTCTGCCTTTGTAATATCTGCATTGTTAACACAATAATCGGAATCCTTTGCCGGGATATGATGAGTTGCCTTCATATACTCACAATTCTTTCTCTGTGACTCTGGTTTGGATAACTCTTCATTCAACATGGTTAAATCAACCCAATCAGACCAAGCAAATGGTACTAAAACTTCGTGGCTCTTATGTTTTTCGTTATCTGGATTCTTCTTCAAATACTGGTTTTTAATTTCATTAATATAGATAGCCAATGTAAATCTGGGATCATAAAAAATTGTTTGCTTGTCTTTCCAAGCTGATTTCACGAAATCATCAACCAGAATTTCTAGCTCGTAGTCAGTTAATTCAGTATGTCCCAACCAATATTTCTCGCTATCCTGAGTAATTTCATTCAACTTGAATAAAATCTTGTCCGAGGTAGACAACTGATCGTACGGTCTATTTGGTATATTGTACAATTTTTTGTCATATTTATGGATATTCTCGGTTTCTTGTCCCTCCTTTTGGTTATTAGAGTAAACAGTATTTGCCTCGGGTATATCCGTGAAGACAGTTCCATCTGAAGCTTCTGTGTCTTCGTCATCCGATTCGTAAAAATTATCTAAAACATATGATGCATGGCTTTTGAATTTCGATGTTAAAGTGGATGAAGTCCTTTCATCAACCAATAAGGTACTAATATAAAGGATATTCACGATAGCAATCAAGACAATAATAAACTTGATTGTCTTAGCATTACCTACCTTCCTGAATAGCGACTTCGCTCCTATTCCAATATTATTGCCTGAAATAGGTTGTAGCATTTCTGATTTATATTAATATTACCTCCTTCTTATGTTTTCGGGATTCAACGGTTTCTTTAATTTCACTTGAATTTCGTTGATAAATCTGATCCCTTTGGGTATGAGCGAATGAACTGTCGTTTGTAGTTGTTCCTATATCACTACTAAACTGTGTATTGTCTGATGCTATAAAAAGTGGAGCTAATTTGTTAAATTGACTTGAAAAAATTTATTTGAAATTTGCCTTTCACGAATAAATATTAATTAATACAAGGCTGTAATTCAACTTTTATTCTTTTAGATATAATTTCTGCCAACTATGAAAGGTATATCAGACAATTTATTGTTTATAAATGATTAAAATATGAAAACTTCTTATGGCACACTTTTCTACTCCACCTAGAAATAATATATAGATCCGTATGATAATTCTTTGCAAGATAATTTTAGATGATGAAAAAAAAAATTAATCCAAGAACTGGATTATGAGAGATTGCGCTACGGAATAGGATGTTGCGCATGCCCCCAATTGTTGTTTATGCGGGACCTTCTTTAACAATCGAACTACCGGAAATTTTTGAAATTATCTTGTCTGCCTCGGAATTCAACTTGGTTCGACTTTCACCAATTTTATCCTTGACAAAGAGCAAAATAGCGAACGCGAAAAAAAAAATAGCGTGTCTCGAGAGTTCCGGTTGGCACAAAGCATCAAATAGTATAATTGTCTATCGTACAACAAAGGGCGTATAAGCAAGGCGGGAAGGTTGTAGTGAAAGGTTGAATAGACGCGAAAGATCAAGGTACTCGGCTACGATTTTGTATCTAACATTGCAGGTGAAGCGATTCCTCGGTTGTTTTGGTATGTGTTTGTGTCGAACATTTCTGTTCCTGATAGAGAAATTAGAACGGAGCTGCAATATAAGCCATATATTTTATTTTGTGATGAAGCCCCGGCATTTATCAAACAGACAAGGTATAGGAATATACAACTTAGATATATAATATATGCGAATATTTACGATATGCGATGGGACATTTTAAGATTACAAATATTTAGACATAGTATTATGCTGATTAAATACCATCGGAGAAGCCGCTGACGACTGACTTACCGAAACCACCTTCCTTCATGGCTAATTCGTAGTAGCCGTAGATGGTTGTAACGGATAACAAAATAGATGTACCAGAACCTAAAGTACCCATCAAGTCGCAGAATACAGATAAAGCACCAATCGTAGCACCACCGAAAGCGGCAGCAGTAGGAATGATTTTCTTTAATTCCCTGTAAGCAGAGGTGTCTCTGTGACCAGCAATAACCAAGCCTTGTTCCTTAAACTGCTTAGCGACATCTCTTGGAGATGCACCACTAATTTCAATCCAAGTGGTCGAGAATACAGCACAGGATCCCAAGACAAATATTATGTAAATGATTGTCTTGATTGGATCTAATAATGCTTCGGTGAATGATAATGGAGGTTGAATATAGTATGCTAAACCACTAACTGCATACAATTGTGCAGCTCCTTGTCTAGTATCCCAGCTTCCCAAGATCTTGACAAAAATGTTATTTGGCCATCTGACAAACAACATTTGCGAAATGATAAAAATGTTTGATGACAAAGCACTTTGTAACATAATTGGGATGTTAGAAGTGTAGAATAATCTAATTGGATATAATCCATATGGACCTCTTTGTCTAGTTGATTTAATTGGTAACTCAATTCTGAAACCTTGTAAGTAAACCACCAATAAGAAAACGAAAATAGTAGCAATCAATTGGAACATATTTGGCAAGTGTGATCTGTAAAAAGCTTCGAGAAGTGCTCTCTTTTTGTCTTTACGAGAACCTAATAAGTGGAATAAGGCTACAACAGCACCTTCAAATTCTGTACCCTTACCAATATTAGAGGTAGTTGGGGCAAATGCTTTCCAGAATACTTGCTCACAGACGTTTGTGGCGGTGAACAAAGAAATACCACTACCAAGACCGTAGCCCTTTTGCAATAATTCATCTAACAAAATAACAACGATACCAGCAAAGACCAATTGTAACACTAACAATAAACAAACACCAGTACCTAAAGATGATGGTGGTCCATACATTCCAGTCAATACATAAACTGTAGCTTGACCGACAGCTAACAAAATTGCAAACAACTTTTGCGCAGTTTGGAATTGGTCTCTATCGTTCTTATTACTCATATCAACAGAAATCAACTTGGTTCCCTGCAATAACTGGAAAACCATACCGGCCGATACAATTGGTGATATACCCAATTCCATCAATGTACCACGGTTAGATGCCAACATCATTCTTAACCAGTACAAAGGATCACTACCATCACTAGAAGCAATACCGTATAATGGAATTTCACTCATCACAAGGAAAATCAATAAAGTCACACCAGTCCACATAAGTCTTTGTTGAAATGCCACTTTCCTTTCAGGTGCAATCACCTCTGGCATAAATGGTGTGAATGGCTTAACCAAATCTAATACACGAAACCCACTCATAGTATTAGATAATTTTAGTATAACAAACAAATATAAACACTATGGATTAAAAGGTGTAAGAAAAACTACCAAAACCGAGCTAACAAGTGTTGAAAACTCGTGTTGACGTGTTCAGACATACTTCGATTTTGTGTAACAGTAATTTTTCAGTTTCTCAAACCTCCCATCTATTAACGGATAGCCGCAAGAGACCACAATCTGAGCAATATTAATAGGTCAAACATGTCAGGGGGTTGGGCAGAAAAGCTAACAAGCGCTTCTGATTCGAAAGTGTCTAAAGTCTCAAGCGTCGCAAGCAAACCATCGACAGCACTGCCATCGACGTCTGCAGCAACCAAATCTAAAAAACCTCATCCTGGCAGTGATGATCCATTACAGCCGAATACGTTCAATGGTAAAGAAATACTACACTACTTGAGTACGTCATACAACACCCATCTACAAAATGCAAAAGCCGACAAGGAGGGCGAAAATACCAAGGTTTACCGGTCGTTGGAATCATCGTCGCAGTGGAAGACGAAACCATCCTCCTCCACCAAAATCGCAGCTTCGTCTGCAAGCACCCCCGGTCCTAATTCCAAATCTAAATACAACTCCAAAAATGTCATCCGGAACCAACGGGATAGTACTGGCAAAACCAATGGCAATATAGACCTATTATTTGAATTAAATAGATCTATATACCAACAGCAGCAGCATCAACTGGCCCATAAAAAGTAGGAACCTACTAAAACTCAACATGAGAATTGAATACCTGTATATCACCATCGGATGTTCAATTTCATGGTGTTTTTTGTGTTATGTATAGCCTAATCAACGTCATTAAATAAGCGTACTGCTGGTATATAAAGTCTGGTGCGTAACGGATGTCTATTTTGTAAGCATATATCCCGGAGTTCGACAAATTTCACAGTGTGCGGGAATTTTGAAATGACCCTCATTGCTCCGGGATTACGCTATCAAAAAGTACGGGGTTACCAATCCAGAATCGAATATTTAATGCTAGTTGATCCCCATTAAATTTTTTTCGGTTTTCTTAATTGATTTATCATTTTATATATAATTTATACTACTACAATATAATATAATCAAGTCATGTCTACACAACATAATTCAGTTTCGGAACAAATGAATGTCGACACTGACATTATCACGTTGACCAGATTTATTTTGCAAGAACAACAAAAAGAGGCTCCAAATGCTACTGGAGAATTGTCTTTATTATTGAATTCGCTACAATTTGCTTTCAAATTCATTGCTCACAATATTAGAAGGGCTGAGTTAGTTAACTTGATCGGAATCAGTGGTACTGCCAACTCTACTGGTGACGTGCAAAAGAAATTAGATGTTATTGGAGACGAGATTTTCATTAATGCTATGAAATCGTCAAATAACGTAAAGGTTTTAGTTTCTGAAGAACAAGAAGACTTAATTGTTTTCGAAGGTGGTGGTCGTTATGCTGTTTGTACTGATCCAATTGATGGGTCGTCGAACATTGATGCTGGTGTTTCTGTTGGTACTATATTTGGTATCTACAGATTAAAGGAAGATTCGCATGGGTCTATTAAGGATGTGTTGAGAAAGGGTACTGAAATGGTTGCAGCTGGTTACACCATGTACGGTGCTTCTGCTCATTTAATGTTAACCACTGGACAAGGTGTCAATGGTTTCACTTTGGACACCCAATTGGGTGAATTCATTTTGACTCAACCACACTTAACTATTCCAAAAACTAGAGCTATTTACTCTGTCAACGAAGGTAATTCCCATTACTGGGCTGAAAGTGCAAAGCAATATATTGCAGACTTAAAGAAACCTCAAGAAGATGGAAAACCATACAGTGCAAGATACATTGGTTCCATGGTTGCTGACATCCACAGAACTATATTATACGGTGGTATTTTTGCATATCCAGCTGACTCTAAGCTGAAGAATGGTAAGTTAAGAATTTTATACGAATGTTTCCCTATGGCTATGTTAATGGAACAAGCCGGTGGTGCAGCTATTAATGATAAGGGTGAAAGAATCTTAGACATTTTACCTAAGGGAATTCATGACAAGAGTGGTATCTGGTTAGGCTCGAAGGGTGAAGTTGATAGATACTTAACTTACCTAAAATAATTTATTCAAAAGTATAGCTAAGATTAATAAAGTTATGATTTACGTCGCATTATTCAGTTTAATATATAGTTCCTAGAATAAAAACACTCTTTAATAACCGTAGCAGCTAATTCTACTGTAGTTCAAATAGTTGCATGTTAATTTTGTGATAAATTTTGCACCTGACTCACTTAAATTATGAAAATTGTAGAGCATACTAAAGAAACAAGAACGGTATTAAGATACCAAGGACCCTAAATATGATAAAACATAAGACGTTCATAAATAGAATTTCACATTCTATAAAGCATTACTTATCTTTCCATGTTTCTATTGCAAATTTAAAAAAAATATCATTCTTTATATCCTTATTTTCATGTCTATCGTCCGGATCAATAATGCTTTTTTCACTATTTTCATCATCTTTACATGAACTATATGGCATAAGCTATCTCCATATAAACTTCATTGCATCATTATCAGCTATTGGTATGTACTTGTGTTTACCTGTGTTAGGTTACTTGGCTGACTGCTACGGCCCCTCATTACTTTCGCTCATTCTGATCTGGTTTTTTGTTCCCAGCTACTTTGTGAATGCTCAAGTTGTGAAAAGCCTTGAATATAACAGCATTATGAAGATCCACTTATATGCATTTGGAATTAGTTTTTTTTTCATAGGATTGGCAACCTCGTCATTATACTTTCTGAGTTTATTGACCTGCGCAAAGATATATCCCGAACATAAAGGCTTGGCCATTTCATTACCAGTTACATGTTATGGGTTATCAACTTTATTAGGATCACAGTTGATGAAACTTTCTTGTTTCAAGCAATATAGTGGATTCTTGAACTTGTACAAGGTGTTTAATTTTTTTGGAATTCTATACTTAGTGATGGGGATATTGAATTTCGTATCAAGTTCTGTTGTCAGCATGGAGTCAGAAATTATATTTACAAATGACGACGAACTTGAAGAATCAGATGAAGCGCTGCCATTAATGACATCTAGATCAAGGCATTCGCATCATAGCTGCGAAGATGACGACAATTTGCTCCCTGAACGCTCAATAATTGAACCACTTAAACACCAGGAACGGTTTACCAATTTTTTGAAAGACAAATCAGCATGGTTATTATTGGCATCTTTAATATTGAATATTGGTCCGATGGAAAGTTTTCAGAATAATTTGGGCTCGATTATTATAAACAGCAGTTCTGTAAGTAATTTATCTGACCAGGTCAGTATGATGGCTGCATCATCAACAGTTACTAGATTGGCAATGGGAGGCTTGTCAGACTACTTGTCCTCTAGCAAGAGGAAATTCCCAATATGTCGTGTCAATTTGTTAATCATCAACTTGGTTGTAGGTATAATCGGCCAATTCATGGTTACAAGACTGTCTCATTTTACGATAGTATCTATCTTGAATGGTTCATCATATGGTGGATTATTCACCATATATCCAACTATTGTTGCCTCGATATGGGGAATTGACATGATGGGATCTACATGGGGCTCATTTATGATAGCTCCTGCTATCGGGTCAATTGGCTTTTCGATTTTTTACGGAAACGAAATTGATACCAAATGTAGTGTTGAATATTCAAACTGCTTGCAGCGTTATTTCAGTCTCACTGCACTTGGGTTATCGGTGAGCTTGATCTTGATCATAATCGTCTGGAAAGGAATATGGGCAAAACGCGGATTTAAGGTTTTTTAGCATCTTGCATAATAGTACATAAACATTTATAAAATTAAACTATCCTTGCCTTGTATTTACTGTATCTACCACGTCTTGAGTACGCTACCGATTAACTGGATGGATATAATCCGGTGTTTGTCTAATCTCGAAAAATCGGAAAATCTTTCGCGTACATCGCAAGTTTGTCTACAACATGTCCACCCGTCTGCGGCCGAGCACCTTCACCCTCCCAGTGAGTGCCCTTACCTTCCTGACATGTATATAACAATCCCATGGTAAAGCTATTATACCAGCCAAATCCTTTGACTGGCTAGCTATACCGTTTAGTCGATGCATTAGTTTTTTTTGTAAATTTAACAATAAGCTATAAACTATAAACTATTTGACGCACAGAACATACATATTATGTAATGTGAATTTACGTACGTTTTGTATATATCGTTCTCAGTATACGATATAACGCTGGTATAAAGGCTGGCCAATTCAAATTGTGGTTATGCTTTTGTGCTTTCGCACGGCAAGTATGTTCTCCTGGCTCGGTAGCCAAATTAATGTACCTGAAGTCGCTAGTAAAAATGACACGGTAGCCTTTTCTCACCACCCATAATCACTAATAAGGAGCATTCCTAACTACTAAGATTTAAAGAGATAAACGAGTGTAGCATACACCAAGACTGTCGACAGTAATCTCGAAGTCTCCGTGTAGAAATGATATGCAACGTTCGAGCATGTAGTATTTTGGGCTACACGTTTGTTTACAGCCACGTCCATTTTATTTTGAATTTTGCAAGACACGCAATTAACAATTTTTCTGTTTCGACAACACACCATGTAGTACAGCTATAAATATACCAGCATTCCCCTTTTTCGTGTTTTCAGAAATCTTAGTCTTTGATTTTATTTATATATATAAACAGTATATAAATA